AAAGTAATCATCTCTGTGGGGCGGCATTTTAGGGCATTCTTCTACTGTTCAGTTGAATCAAAGGGTTTCATAAACAATCATTTAAAGGCCAAATAGACTTCACAAAGCATTTTTTCTGTCAGTGTGCCTCCAGAGAACAAAGCAGAAAACAAAACAAAATTGAAAGACATAAAAGACCTGTTTGTACTATCGGACCCTCTGGGTAGATTTACCGGACCTTCGTGGCATGTACGTGTCTCCATTTCACTGGGTCAGCCTGAAGAAACCACTTTTGGGCCAAACAAGAACCTGCCTTTGGATATGTACTTGGAAATGTCCCATTTGAGCTGCTCGTTTGAGACAGCTTTGGCAACAACTTTGGACTATTTAGACTTGGGCTTTTCTTTGAGTCAAGAGCAGATAGAGGTACTTAAGTCTTTTATGTAGATAAAGGATTTATTTGTGTCTTCTCGACAGTATATGTTGAACTTACCCGTTGACTGACATCTGTATGTTGTCCAATAGCATTGGGAGACCGTTTGAAAGACAACTCCACGACTGAGCTCTGCCTATGGGTTGTGGCCAGACTATGAAACGTATATAAGATGGCTTGCCAGGCGAGCTGTGAATGCCTTTTGGTACTAAACGGTGATGTCACTCTCTGCTGAAACGTGATTTGCTGATTCCTTACAGTCATGAAAGCACAGATTTTGTATGGAGTCACAGTGACTGAGAGGACGGATCTGGCATATTTTTCCTGTCATCTTCCACCACCCAGGAATAGTGGAAATGCAGTTGATGATGACGTCACGTGTTTGTTTTAATAAATGTTTGCCCTAATCTCAACCAGGATAACAGCTGATCTGTTCAGTAGATCACATCTAAGTTTCATGTTACTTTCAGGACATGTCTGATCCATTTGTGACCATTTTCAGCTACAGATGTGCTGCTCGGTCAGGTACTTATACTCTCTGTTCTCCTACTCCTATCCAGGTTTTTTTTTTTTTAACAAATGCAGACATCCGTTGTAAGCCAAACACTGGTGAGGCAGATGGCTGCTAGCAATAATGGGATGTCTGTTTATGGTGCAGAGGACCGCTGGGCGCTGACCTCCATTTAGACGCCCAGAGAGAGAGATAAAGCTCTGTGATGAGGACGCTCCTCAAGCCCAGCCAGGTCACAGGCCTTCTGTCAGTCAAAGCACACATCACACAGCGTGTGCTAGCATGTGTGTGTCTGAAACCTCTTATATGGCTCAAAGACTCTAATTGCAAAGTTGTTTTTAAAGGATTCCCATCTATCTCTGAAGCACTTTAAGCAGCTTGAGAAGCATGATGGCTTAGTTAGCATGCAGGTGACCTTGGATTAAAATTTACTTCTAAATGTAGTCATTTGTAGATGTACATCCTGTTTTGTTTTTTTTTGTTATTATTATTCATCAAGTGGTCCATGCAGTGGTGGTTCATGCATTTAATACCGAGGCCTTCAGTACGTGTTTATTGACTTAACCCACCACTCTGACGTCACAGTTAAGCAAGCCACAAATATTATACAAAAATGCAATATGGTATTAGAGATCCTGTCCAGAGAGCACTGTGTTAAGAGATTATGCATCGCTGTTTTTCAAATAAATAATTATGATGAAGATTTAGTATTGTGACGTTACAGGAAATGAGTCACTGGAGAGAGAAGCTTTATTGCACACCTCAAGTGTCAAACACGGATTGACAATGAGGAGCCGTTTATTAGCAACTCTTGCAATCACTTACTTGCAGTTAACAATCTGATGTCAGGCAGGTCATTCTCATGCACCCCCTTCTCTATCATGGTGACGAACAAATACCACCAAATATTGACACCAACAGAACTTGAAGGATGATTAAAGAACAGGTATCCATTGAAACACAAAAATATTACGTCAAACCATAAGATAACACTGAAGACCCAGGAAGGCCAATCTAAAAGCTAAATAAAACCAAAACTGTTCCCCTGCTGTAAAGTGTAACTAACAAAGGTCTGCTTTACTGATCCTGAAAGCCTTGGGCAGATTACACTCCGCCTGGCAACACACAGAGACTGACCCTGACTGGACGAAACACAGAAGGCCCACAGACATCTAAAGGACACGACGCAAGAGAAGTGTTACAAAAAATAAAATAAAAGAACAAGAAATTCAACTAATGAAAGTTATTTCATACAGTTTGATTGAACAAACATAATTTTGGCTGTAAATATAGGTTAGGGATTTTGATCATGTTTAGGCCAACAGCACACCACTGGGTCTATGAGAGGGCGCTAAAAGCAAAGGAAGACACAGACAAATACATAATCAGCAGCCACTGACAGGTGGATGATAAAAGTACATCTAAATGTGAGCCAAAATGTTCCATGACCTTTGGTAGCAGTACGACATCATAGAACAGGGTTGGGTTTGATATGTCCATCAACAACATGCACCACAATTGGTTTGAGCTGCATGTTTTACTAATTGGCCAATAGTTGAAGATTTAGCCTCAGCAGTGGGAGTACCCCTTCACTGATGGTCCTACCACCATTGCGGTCATGTTTCTAGTCCACAATGGTTTATTTACGATTGTGTATTTGTATTATTTAAATCTTGTTTAACGACCCACTTCTACGATTTGTCTTTTAGACCGTGACTCGTTTTATTGTTTTATTGTATTATTGTTTTGATGCGTTCTTTGTATTCCTCATGTTTTATTAGCTTTTACTGATCTGTATTTTTATCCTCTGTTGTTGTTGCTTTGATTGGTCGTGATTTGGTCCAGCCTGTGCAGCACTTTGGGCAGCTCCCATGCTGCGTGTTAAATGTGCTGTATAAGTAAATTATGGTATTCTGTTTATGTATTTGAAATAGTAACCCAGACAAATTTGTCTCTCATTCTCCTCCACCTCTTCATTCAGTCATCATTTCCAAACCCTACTGCTAGATATCTTTGGCGCTCTTTTTTTCCATGGCAATAGCGGTGCTGTTGACAAATGTTTTAAAAAGTGCAGCGTGCTAAACAATCACAGGTTAGCACTGTCCATAGGTTTGACAAACTGTTTAAAAAATGGGCGTGTCTACGTCACCCTCTGCAGGCCTGCTGCAAGAGCATTTGTGTTAATGGATGATGATGTCTCCGTACCGCGGCAGATGGAGAAGAATAAGCTAGGCTTAACACCTCCTGCTTTTTGGTCATCACTCACCTCATTCGTCGTGTTTATTTAGTTCCTTACATCAGATGTCAGCATGTACTCTCTAGCCTTTAGTTTCCTCCTTAATAACTTTAAATGTGTTTTAACTGTAATTTAGAGAGCAATAGCCTTTAGCCTTAAAAAACATTTTTTAAATATTATTTCTGAATATAATCGGTCTGAGTTTTTCATGCAGGTTGAACACGAAAATAGTCTTCTACACTTATCTACTGCATTAGTCTCTGACAGAAAATAGACATTGAAACTCTAGAATTAGAAAAGCCTGACAGATCTACATCACACTGTCACTTAACATTCATAGACTCACCCATCTTGACTCAGCATGGAAGGCTGTTGTTGGGTAAGCATCCAGAAAACAACAGAGAACATCTCAACTAGTAGAAGCTAACTGTTAGCATTAGCAGCTCAAAAACACAGCAGAACTCCTTCAGACTTGTGTTATTTTGGGGAGATAAGACCATACACTTTGGAAAGCAAACAGTCTGTGGTAAAATGGCATTGCTGTTAGCCAGTCAGAGGCGAGATGTCCAAATATCAGGAAACGAGACTACAAATCCTGCCGTCTCAAGCTCAACTCTAGTTCCTGAAAAGAGGTGCACCAGAGCTTTTGTTCCCCAGACAACAACATAAAAGGCATCCATTCCTACGAGAGACCACTGCAAATGTATTGAGGTTATGGGTAAAGCTGACCTTTAATAAGACCTGAAAACTTCACCCTGTAAAAGACAAAAAATAATTGTACATTTAGATATCTCATTGGTACATTTTTATGTATGATGGTTAATTTCACATTAATTCAGTGATTTAGGGGTAGACGTTACGATGTTTAAGGGAAGCAACAAAACAAGGAAATATTAATTCTAGGCAGGTTAGACCAGCCTTCTATCAAACTTTAAAGGAGAGAGATCATGCTATTTTAAATCTTGGAAAGCAAAGGTGAGCACAATATATGATGAGATATTACTGTTGGCATTACTGAGATGTAATTTTATCTTAAATACAAAATTTCAGCCTGAATTTATACCCGTAAATGTTTCAGGTAAGCTCCTCCTGCACCTGCTCTGACAAAAAGCATCTTTAACAGTGTCTTAGTTGAGTCCATGGTTGTATTGTCTATGGTTAAAGTGACTGCTTGTCATCTTGTTTTGCCATGTCTTGATGCTGGTTTGACTCCTGGTGTCAGCAGTAATTTATTTAGATAGAAGAAAAATCAATCTTTTATATAGCTCCTCTCGAGATAAAAATCACGAGGCGCTTCACAAAAACAAAAAGAAATAAAATACTTTTTAAAAGGATTTCAAAATATAAAAATGAACTGTGATTTAAAAATGTAGGGAAAGAGAAAATGAATAAGAAAGAGGCAATCAGTGGAACCTGGGAAAGGTGGTAGAAAGAGCAGAGTGATGAAGGTCACACCAAATCCAACCTGAACAGGTGAGTTTTAAGCTGCTTTTTAAAGGAGACCACTGATCTCAGGCTCAGGGGGAGAGAGGTCCAGATGCCTGATGATGCACCTGGGGTACTTTCTCTTGGATGCAGGCCTGACATAAGATTGAAGCAGAGGCAGGAAAATGCATGAATGCAGTCAAAAATGGTTTGGGAGTATTTCTCATGAGGAGATGACAATTTCACTTGATGAAAAATTCAAAAAAGTCTATTTTTCATAATATTGAACCTTTAAGTAAAGTTGTTTATATCAGAATCAAATGTTGTTGTTTTGCTTCTATTTGACGTATTTGGACTAAAGTTGTGTTTTGAGATTCTTTTTTGTTAGATTAACGTATCTGAACCCGTTCCTTCAGATCCAACGCTCCAGAAACAAACAGATGAAGGAAATGTTCCCAGAAGGCTTTGGGATTCATCATGCTGGGATGCTGCGGTCTGATCGGAGCATGATGGAGAGCTTCTTCTCTAAAGGCCACCTCAAAGTTCTGGTCTGCACTGCCACCTTGGCCTGGGGGGTGAATCTGCCGGCACACGCAGTCATCATCAAGGTCTTTAATCTTTGCTTTCTTTCTTTCCGTGCAGCAGTGGGTCCCTTAGCTTGTCTCTAGATGTTTTATCTGAACCTTTTGTGCTCTTACTGATGACCACCTAAAGCAGCAGCCCTGGGCTTTCAGGCCTCCACAGACAGTTCTTTATGTTCTGTTTATAGAACAGGAATTATTTAAAGCAAGTCTCGCTTAGGTTTAGTGCCACTGTTTGATGTGTGTGTAATGTACTGTGTACTCTCGGTCTGGAACCAAAGAAACTTCTGCATCACAGGCCTGATAAATGTTAAAAGATGAATGGGTTCATAATTCACCTCATATGTAGAATAAATAAAGGTTTGTTTTACAGTCATGGCCAAACGTTTTCAGAATGACACAAATATTGGTTTTGTGGTCATTTACATAAACTCCAGGATGTTATAAAGAGTGATCAGATGAACACCAAAGTTCTTCTTTGCCATTAAAATTAACTTAATCCCAAAAATACATTTCCACCGCATTTCATCAGTGCCATAGAACAATGCCTTTTCCAGCATGGAGAACTTTACCATAAGGCCAAAATGATAACTATGTGGCTCAGGGAGCAAAGATTGGTATTTTGGGTCCGTGGTCAGGAAACAAACTGGATCTTTATCCAATTGAGAAGTTGTGGTCAGTCCTCTAGAGGCAAGCAGTGAAATAAAAACCACTCGTTGTGACAAAGTTCAATTATGAAAGAACAGGTTGCCGTCAGTCAGGGTGGGGTCCAGAAGTTGATTGACAGCATGCTAGGGTGACTTACACACGTCCTGAAGAAAAATGGGCCAACACTGAAAAGTTTCTTTGCATAAACTTTATGCAACTGTGAATCAAAGCCTTTGAAACTTGGGAAGTGCTTGTAATTTTACTTCAGTACTGCTGACAAAAAGATCCGGAAACACTGAAGCAGGAAATTTCTATCATTCTCAAACCTTTGGCCCTGATTTTACTACCTATTTCTTTTCTATTGTCTACAAGTGTGTTAATTCTGCATTAGATCTTCAGTTGAGTTTAATCTGCTCGATCAGCAGTGAATAGTGAATATTTCCTCTTTTACGGGCGGGTTGTTTAGGTGTCCTAATGTTCATAATGGTCTAGTGAGCGTAACTATTCTACTAGTGACGTTATCGTGTGGGTAAAAGTCAGAAACATCGAGCCAGAGTTCTTTGAATCTGATCCTCAAAACACAGACACAAGAGTCTGTCAGGACCTCAAAGTCTCAAACAAGCTGGACATCTAATGATCTGGATGGAGCTTGTCTTTTAGCAAAAACACTTGACAGACTGACCAATGAGATGCACAAACCTCCCTCTATCTGTCCTAACGGGCTGTACACTGGCTGTTGGATATAATAATTAAAGTCCAAAATTAGCACCTAAACACTTTGCAACAGACCGAGTCTGATAGAAAAAGCCTTTAAATTATTAAATGCTGTTTGTACATCTAAAGCACATTCACCTGAGCCACCTGTCTGCCTGCTTGTCTGTCTGCTAACAGGGGACTCAGATCTATGACGCTAAGCGTGGTGCCTTTGTGGATCTGGGCATCCTGGACGTCATGCAGATCTTCGGCCGAGCAGGTCGGCCCCAGTTTGACAGGTTTGGAGAGGGAACCATCATCACCACCCACGACAAGCTGAGTCATTACTTGACCCTGCTGACTCAGCAGAATCCCATCGAGAGTCAGTTCCAGAACAGCCTGTGTGACAACCTGAATGCAGAGGTCAGTTTCTACTGTGTTGAGTTTAAGTGAAGCACAGAAAAAGCTTAAAGACAACATGTGTCAGTTTGACCTGTTCAGGTAACCTCCCTCTGCATATCATCTGTTATGTGTTTAGTGTCTGAGGTCTGCTGGACTTAAACAGCAGCTCCCTTCGACTCCAGTGAGGAATAAGCAGCTAAGATGAGAGTTAATGCTACTGCTACATATATGTACAATAACCCCTTTAGAGTTAAATGGTGAAAAGAGCTAGTTATCGTCATAATTACACACACCTGTGTGTTCAATAACATGGTGACGTTGAGGAAAATATCAAATGTATGCAGTTGTCACCAAAGACAACCTATCAGTGGGTTTCTGCTCATGTGAGTTTTATTCCAGTGGAGCAACAAAGATGTGTAAAGCTTTAATTAAAGATCCTGTTTAATAAGTGGGACAACTTGCACGTTTGATGGCTGCCAAATACTTTTTTGCCTCGCTGTATAATGTCACATGGTTTGGGTGAGAAAAAGAACACGTATCTGAGCTGAGGCTGATGATGCAGCTGCACTGTGGTGAGCCGTCCAGCAGAGGGAGACAGAGACCAGTGAGACTGAATGTGCCGCTTCCCTGATCCTGCAGATTGCTCTGGGTACGGTCACCAATGTGGAGGAGGCCGTCAGGTGGCTCAGTTACACCTACCTGTACGTTCGCATGAGGGCCAACCCACTGGTGTATGGGATCAACCACAGAGCTCTCCAGGTTGGTAGAAGCTGCCTAATCTAACAGAACAACTAAATAAAGCAGATCATTGTGCTCGCTGCCCTTCTGTCGGACGTTTGTTAGAAGTTTACTTAGGAACTGCTGGTAAATGTCAGAGATGAAAATAAGATTTTAGGTTAATGTTTCGACTAAAACAATATTATAAAAATCGACTGAGACGAAAAGGTTAGATAGTTCCTCTCTGAGTCGGAGGACTCCAAAGTGCTTTACTACAGCTACACTGGGTTGCATAGGTTTGAACCGGCAACCCGCCGGTAACACGGAGGACTCCTAACTGTCTCCCCGTAAAGAAAAAACTAAATAAAAATAAATTTTCTCATATGACTAGTGTACGTCAGACTAAAGCGTTCCTTTGATCTGTTTCAGACGGATCCAGGGTTAGAGCTCTACAGGAAGGAGCTGGTGGTAGAGTCAGCCCGGAAGCTGGATAAAGCCAGAATGATCCGCTTCGAAGAGCGCACCGGCTACTTCGCTTCCACTGACCTCGGCAGGACGGCCAGTCACTTCTACATCAGATATAACACCATGGAGGTAGGTGACCTCACACCTACATCACACCCACAGATGGGTCAGTCTCACCTCATGGACTGCATCATGTCGGGGAGATCATTTGCAGCTTGTGGGAGAAACGAAACTCACAGTGAATTACAGACGGCTTCATTTTGCTGTGAAAATGTATACTTGATGTTCATGATAGAGCCACCACGTTAACCATCGCTCGCAGAAAACTTGAGATTCATCGAGTATTCTCAACATACCGCCCACCACTAGTTAGACACATAAAATATTTAAGAGGAAAAAAGGCTTCTGTGCAGATGTGTCTCAGTTTAGCTGGATTCTGGCAAAACTGTCTTCTCGTTTAGCTTTTTCCTTTAGGCGTCTCCATCCAGTCATGCCTTTACCATCTTCCACCCTCACAGCAAATAACTTCATGTTCTCTTTAACAAACATCCCTAAATCTTCTTGTTGGTCTTCCTCTCAGCGTCCTTCTACCCATGTAGTCATTGTCTCCCCTCTGGACATGTCCAAACCATCTCTGTCTGAACTCAGAACTCCAAACATCATCACAGTGTTTTAAATCAGATGTCTGTCGAGTACGACTGCTGCTTAAACTAATGACTTTCCTCTTTTCTGTTTGAAGACGTTCAATGAACATTTCAACTCACAGAGGACAGAAGCGGACATCCTCACCGTTGTTTCCAAGGCTGAGGAGTTTGAACAGCTCAAAGTGAGACTCTGGCAGCTCTATGACGCAACAGCAGGGATACCTGTTTAGGGAAATATTCCATTTTAAAATGTTCTGAAGTAGAACTCTTCTGTGAAGAACTTCAGAACAATCTGAAAGCAGCAATAAATGACAAACCCGGTGTGTGTCGACAGGTTCGTGAGGAGGAGCTAGAGGAACTGGAGCAGTTGCTCTGTAACTACTGTGAGTTACCGGCTGCAGGTGGTGTGGAGAACGGTTATGGCAAAGTAAACATTTTACTACAGACATACATCAGTCGAGGAGAGGTGGACAGCTTCTCACTCATCTCAGACCTCTCATATGTTGCACAGGTGAGAGAAAACACACAGGCACAAGACCACGGATGGATGGATGGATGGATGGATGGATGGGTGGGTGGGTGGGTGGGTGGATGGATGGGTGGGTGGGTGGGTGGATGGATGGATGGATGGATGGATTGACTGATTGATTGTGTAATGAAAAGGAGGTTATTACATTTTAATTAATGAGTCATAAGGCGTGGGATTCCATAGGAAATATAGAATCCACCTTACGGATCAAGGGTTATTTAAATCAGAAGATGGGATCTTTTTATTGCAGAGATTAGATAACCATTACGGATTCACTCAGAGACAACAGAATAGAGAGAGTCGCGTTTAAAAGTCACGAATTTTATTACTAACAAATTAAACTAGACTTGCTTTAAACTAAATGTATGGTGTAACTAAAATTGGATGAGGCGGTGAATGGATGATGTGTGCTGTAAATCAGAACCAGCAAATCTGAAGAAGCGATTAGTTCTGACGGGAACTGAAGATGTTGTTTTGCATTAAGCCTTGGTTAGCTTCAGAAAAAGCATGAGACACCATTTGCTGGTCTACCTTGTCTTGTGGAAGTCCTCTGTAGATCAGGAATATCGAGGTCCAGTGAACCCTCTGGAAACCGAGCCGGTAGGAAAAGCCGCGGTTCCGATCAAACCCATCTTGAGTTACTTCTGGCATACAACACTTTATTGGCGTCTGGTCAGACCCAAGCCTGGGTCGGTGGATGGAGCTTTTATTCTGAAAGGAGCTGTTGCCACTGGTTGGTGTAGCGACTGGATTTTTCAGCTTGTCGTTGTTCTTTCGGTTAAAGAGTTTAGATCGGGATTGGCCACTCCGTCACTTTCTCTGGAACGCTTTGAACTGGCGTTAGAGATGACGTGGCGTAGTTTTATACCTCGGATGTTATGGTTTATTGTCGAATGAAAATTACCAAACACCGTCAGAACCACGCCTCCGTCAGATCTGTAAGATTCTGATTGGATCAGTGAAAGTAATGTGTTATGTCTTTTAATGCTACGTGAAATGAGTCCTGTTGGAACACTTAAAGTCACAGTACTTATTCTATAGGATCATAATAAAGTATTTAATATTGTGATTTCACAGATTGGTCACATCTTATTTATTGACTAATACTTTGATGGATTAGCTTAATTAAAATAGAGTTCTTTGATTAATTAAAAGAAAAGAGTTCATTCTTCATTCTTCTGTTGAGCTAAAAATAAGCAGGTTAGAAGGAATACATCAGACCTTGAGAATATCTCTCATGCAGACTAGTTCTGAGCAAAGAAGGGAAAAATAAGTCATTCGTTCCGTTACAATTGATTGATTGATCGATCGATTGATTCTATTATATCAGCACAGATCACCAAGAGAGAGAAACTTTTACCTAAACTACAATCAATGTCTTTTTATCCATCACTACAAGTGAAGAATCTGGGTGTTATTTTCGACTCTGAGCTGACTTTTATCCCCCATATTAAAAACATCACAAAAATAGGTTTTTACCATCTTAAGAATATCGCCAGAGTCCGCCCCATTCTCTCTCGGGCCAATACGGAGACGCTAGTGCATGCTTTTGTAACCAGTAGAATTGATTACTGCAATGCCCTGCTTTCTGGTCTTCCCAAAAAGAGCATCTCAGGTTTACAACTCTTACAAAACTCAGCAGCACGTGTCCTGATGAAGACCAGGAAGCGGGAGCACATCACTCCGGTTTTAAAATCACTGCACTGGCTCCCCGTATGTTTCAGGATTGATTTTAAGGTTCTTTTAATGGTTTTTAAGTGTCTTAATGGTCTTGGGCCTTCTTATCTTTCAGAACTGCTTTTACTGTATAAACCCTCGCGGTCTCTGCGCTCCTCTGGCAGCCGTCTCCTAGTTATCCCTAAAGTTAAGACTCACACCCACGGCGAGGCGTCCTTCAAGTACTACGGCCCTCGCCTTTGGAACGGGCTGCCGGAGGACCTCAGGTCCGAAGGGAACATCCAGGCTTTTAAGAATAGGCTCAAGACCCACCTTTTTAGCTTAGCTTTTAACTGATTACTATTTATCTATAAATACATATTTATCTCTCTTATTATTTTTATCATTTTATATACATCTTAGTGTTTTTATATGATTATGTTCTCTTTTACTATCTTTATAATCACTTTTTATCAGTTACTTTTTATCATTATTAGCTTTTATTATTTTATATGTTATATATCTTAAATCCTCCAGTGTTTCCTCTGCGGAGCCCTCTGCCTTGGGGCCGGTGGTCAGGGGCGGCGGCGGCCGGGGCGCTCCCCAGGTAGTGCCCGGGCACTGGTGGGGGTTTCTGCCCTACGCCTCTGGGCGTCATGGGCCGGTGTCTTGGCTGCTGCCGTGGATCTGTTGCTGCCAAGGCAGATGGCTCCGCTGATGATGTGTCGTTCATTACCTGACCCATCTGAACTCAGCCTATTGTTTCCTCTGGTGTTCACGAGTGTGTGTGTGTGTGTGTGCGTGTGTGTGTGTGTGTGTGTGTGCGGGTGATTGTATGTCCACTTTGGAAGTTGGGTGCGGGAGGGGAACTGTAATTTTTAATTGTTTTATACTTGGGGAGGGGGGCTGGGATGGGAATGTGGGATCTATGGGGCCATTTTAATCTGTAAAGCACTTTGAGTTGCATTTTTTGTATGAAAAGTGCTATATAAATAAAGTTGATTTGATTTGATTTGATTTAAAAAGCAAGTCAAGTCAAGGTTTAATAAAAACTGCAGGATGGTCTCAATAGCTGCTGCAAACCAGTCCTCCAGCAGTAAGGTTTGCAGCCTTGATTTGGGGAAACAACAGTTGATTAATAGGTTTTTCATCCCTGGTACCTCACACAGAATGCTGCTCGGATTGTGAGGGCTTTGTTTGAGATCGCTCTAAGGAAGCGTTGGCCGGCCATGACCTACAGACTGCTCACCCTCTGCAAGGTGATTGACAAGCGACTGTGGGGCTACGCTCATCCTCTCCGCCAGTTCCCCAACCTGAGCCACGTGGTGCTGAATAGACTGGAGGAGAAGAAGCTGACGGTGGACAAACTGAAGGAAATGAGGAAGGATGAGATTGGTAAAAACAAAATCATTCTCTCATGTACAGGATTAGTGGGACAAAACATTTATGTAACAAATGCAGTGCTAAGTGGAGCTTCAATCTGAAACTTTTATTATGGCCATCCTAACCCCAGCATCACTTTATAGTGAATCAGATATTGGAAGGAGAGTTTTAACGTAAATTACTTTTGTTTATGGTTTTCTAGGTCGATATTGTTTCTTACTATAATTAACTTTATTTTAGCTTTGGGAGGTTTCTGAACATTTTATGTTTTATGTCTAAAGACCTTTCTTGAGTCCGTTGTTAGCAAGTCTGCCTGAGTAGACTAGAGGTTGTTTGGTTAGTTAATTAGTTAGCTAGTTAGTTCGTTCGTTCGTTAGTGAGACCAGCCGTTTCCTGTTTCTTACGGACGCACCTGAGCCTTTGGCTCTTCTGTTTGCAGGTCACATGTTGCACCATGTCAACATCGGGCTGAGTGTCAAACAGTGTGTCCACCAGATCCCCTCAATCACAATGGAGGCTAGCATCCAACCAATAACACGCACCGTGCTACGTGTTCGCCTCGTTGTCACGCCTGACTTCCGCTGGAATGACCAGGTGAGTGATGCATCCTGTCGCCTTAAACCAGTGGTTCCCAAACGTTCTGCTGGGCTCCACTTCTGTTGCACAAGAAAAAGTTTGATCTTTATTTGGTCGTGATTGAGGTCAAAACAGAATAACAGTCTTTCCACTATTAGAAGTCACAGGCATGGTGAACAGTGAGGCTGTAGATGGAGGCAGCAGGAAGAAGCTGATGTTCGGGATTATTCTGGACCCTCTGTGGTAGTGAGAGCAAACCTGACAAACGGTTTATTTTTTTTGTTCACATCCATAGACAGGCGGATTGGTTCGGCGTCTGCAGTGATGCGGACGCTGAGCCGATCTGTCGTGGGGAAGAGGGAGCTGAGCCAGAAAGCCAGGCTCTCGATTTACCGGTCGATCTACGTCCCAATCCTCACCTATGGTCATGAGCTTTGGGTAATGACCGAAAGAACGAGATCGCGGATACAAGCGGCCGAAATGAGTTTCCTCCGTAGGGTGGCCGGGCTCAGCCTTAGAGATAGGGTGAGGAGCTCGGACATTCGGGAGGGACTCGGAGTAGAACCGCTGCTCCTCCGGATCGAAAGGAGCCAGTTGAGGTGGTTTGGGCATCTGGTCAGGATGCCTCCTGGACGCCTCCCCGGGGAGGTGTTTCGGGCATGTCCTGCCGGCAGAAGCCCCCCGGGTCGACCCAGGACACGTTGGAGAGGTTACATCTCCAATCTGGTCCGGGAACGCCTTGGGGTCCTGCCGGAGGAGCTGGTGGACAAGGCCGGGGAGAGGACGGCCTGGAGCTCCCTGGTTGGGATGCTGCCCCCGTGACCCGGACCCGGATAAGCGGAGGAAGACGACGACGACGACGATCCATAGAAGCAGGAAATCATCTTTACACAATGATTAATGTCTAATGGTGAAACTGGTACAGAGCTAAAAACTTGAGTTAGAGCCGTTGTAGTCAGGTGACTCACGTCACTCTGTGGAGATGTCTAAAAGCATCCGAGACATTTTATGTCAGGCATTAACAAAAGATTTCCTGACGGCAGAAATCAAATGCGTTTGCTGTCTTGTCTGCATGTTTATTATCAGGTGATAGTGTCCCTGCAGAACAGCTGGCTGTGCGTCATGATTCTGACCATCAGCATCCTCCTCATATGCGCTGGGTACCGTTTGTCTCATTGTTTAAGAGCTCGGTCATAAATTTTAGCAGGCTGGTTGTGTAGAACGGGCCGAGTGTCCGCCGGCAGAACGGATTAGACTGTGAAATCCAGGCTGACAACAGCTGCTGCAGTTCAGCGTGTTTCTCCTCCTCCTGCATCCTGAGCCACACCACCACATATTTACACAGACTAATGGACACAAAGAGCAAGCCATTGTCACATCTACGCATTAGAGAGCAGACGAGCTTCCCGTCCTACCTTGTTATGTTTCTCACACCGTGGAATCTCCATCTGTGCCTGAGAGCCTGGATGTCCCACCTCAGAGGGCCACTGGGCCGGAGAGGATCACAGGAAGCTTAGTCCAGAGTTTGTCTTGGAGTCTGTGGTGAACAAGAAGCCTGTTGTAGGCAGGCTGAATATGAAGATGAATGTTTATGTCCGATTAGCAATGCATGCTCCAATCATGGGAGAACAGTAACGGAACACTGGCTGGCTTAGTTCTGATCCGGCTGCAGAGCCAGGACACATGTCCCTACACCCCCACCATACCACCCCCCAGTACCCGGGACATGGACCACACCAACTCATCTTTGGTGACTGCATCATTACTCAGAGGTTTAGGCATCCTGTAACTGGGCTCTTGTTTCTGAAGATTCCCAGTAAAACCTGTTTCTTAGTAGTTATTTGTGTTTATCTCATTTTTCTGTGATGCTCACATCGACATATATACTGGATGCTCAGCAACTTTCCTCATATTCAACCAATCTCTTTGGTAATCAGGGCTGGAGCTCACTGTGTTTGTTAATATGGTATCTAAAAATGACATAAAACACTGTCAGAGTTAAACGGCAGAATTTCATTTACATGCTAACTTTTGAACATGCACATGTCATCAAAGGAGCAACAAACACATTTTTAGGAAATAAAGCATAGTCCTGTAGCTGAGAATAAACATTAGCACAAACTGTGTGTGAGCGTGCCAGTCAGTCAGTCTTATAAATGATACCTAAAAGTCAAATTGTTATAATTTGGAGTAGAACCGCATCGTTTGTCAGCATTCCATCACTTTCCAGATTAACCAAGATCTTCTAAAGGTTTGCTGTCATTGCAGGGATGGAAATCTTGGGACTACAATAAAACAAACCTTTGGAACATTTATTATTGTGTTTTTCTTAATTCTTTAAGAGTGTGTGACTGCCTACATGAGTTACACCACCTACTTATCTATTCAAAATTCAGGGGGGGTTTTGCGCCGCAGAAGTGGTGAGGTCGCAATAACAAAATGATCAAGTTGGTTGTTGTTGACATGAGGGATCTCTGAATGTCTGGGGATCAAACCCCATCCATGTCTTCCTTGGGTCTTGGGGCAGAATGTATGGCCCCTCACTCTATTATGGAGAATCTGCGTTTGTGTACAGCCACAAACACACAGGCCTGAGCCTATGTAGGGTAAACACTGCATTACTTTGGGCTGCAGTCGGCACTAAATACGCCACCATGTGTTTTTCAGTACCATTGGGATTGTTGTATTCCTATGTGGCTTGGCGATGTGGAGTTTCTCTTCTGATGTTTTCTTCTCTTACTGCAGGTCCAGAAGTGGATTCTTTGTTCCTCTTGCAGTGTTTCCCCTAGAAAATTTCCATTGGAGGTGGGGGGTGCGCGCAGACAGTTTTGCTCCCGTGAGAGCAAGAGGCGAACCGTTATGCTTTTTCAACTCTGTGCGTGTCCCGTTAAAGCAGGGGGAAGGGGTGCACTGCACGCAGAACATTTCGTTTCCATGTGTCTCCTGCGGGTGGGAGTTGTAGCCATGGCGCTAGAGTTTCAGGAGTGGCGCAACGCCTGAGCCTATGCAGGGCATTCACTGCTCTTGTATTCTTTCATTTAACTAACTTTTTCTCCCCACCTCTCACTTTCTTCTTCCTCTATTCTATTCTTCTTCCTTTATTTCTGTCATTGTGTGTGTTGGGATTAAAATTACAAGCTGCTTTAAAACAGAATGAAGCCTGTACCTCTCTGGTAGAGGCAGAGATGTCCATTGCAGGTGTTTAGCATTGAAGATCATTTTCGCATTAATATGCAACTCTTAAGTGACCAATTATATTTACAAAAGAACAAAAATCACAGTTTCTCTTGAAGGAAAACTAAGATGTGCACAAATAACGTGTGTGTGTGTGTGTGTGTGTGTGTGTGTGTGTGTGTGTGTGTGTGTGTGTGTGTGTGTGTGTGTGTGTGTGTGTGTGTGTGTGTGTGTGTGTGTGTGTGTGTGTGGGTGTGTGTGTGTGTGTGTGTGTGTGTTTCAGGTTCATGGGTCAGTGGGGGAGCCATGGTGGTTGTGGGTAGAAGACCCCATCAATGATCACATCTACCACTCTGAGTACTTTCTCCTACAGAAGAAACAGGTGAGTTTGGATCTGGAGCTCCATGAACAGGAGGAGGCATCATCACCGAAGGTTATCTCCTGTCCTGTCCAGGTGGTGAGTGGAGAGCCGCAGCATTTGGTCTTCACCATTCCCATCTTTGAGCCATTGCCCTCCCAGTACTACATTAAGGCGGTGTCTGACCGCTGGCTCGGAGCTGAGGCTGTCTGCATCATCAACTTCCAGAACCTGATTTTACCAGAGAGACACCCGCCTCACACTGGTACACACACACACGCACGCACGCACGCATGCACACACACACACACACACACTCCTGAAGTTGTTAGTTGGCCTGTTGTGTCTTCAGTGAAGTGGGCTGCATCTATTTTCATGAAGAAGTCAGAAATTATAGCAACTATTTATTTGTGCACAAAAACTGTGAATCACATAAAAGTTTTTGTCTGTTTACAGAAGTAAGACTTCCTGTGTAACTTGGCCCTCAAAAGGTTATCGAGGCTATTTAAGTGCATTTCTGTATAAAAGTTACACATAATTACTATCCTGTCCGCTAGTTGGATAATTGTTGCTTGGAAACCTCGTCCTGGAAACAAAGTTTAAAAACCATTTAGGTGAAATGTTTTCCTGCAGAAACAAGTTCTGGCTAGAGTTACTGCATCATGATACAGTCTACATTTGTAGAAGAGGAAAAATCAGAATTTTAATTTAGAGTTTAAAATGAGAAAATAAGAATTACTGTGATTCTTGTTGTCCCTTTGTCTTTAGCTGAAGTAAAGTCTTATTTTTATCCCAGCTTTTTTTTGCTCTTTGTGGTCTGTTCGGTCTGGATGAGAGATGGTTGGATCCGGATGAGTCCCACCCTCCTACCAGCTGACCAATAGGGTTGTATTTGGACTCCATCTTTTCTCCGGTGACTGTGCATACATGTGTTTCAGATTTGTTATAACTGCCTCCGTCCTGTGTTTCCCCAGTATTTACTTAGAGCTAGAAAACTGATGTTAGCTTCCATGCCTTTTATAGTAAAAGGGGGATCTGTTATACCGCTGATTTCTAGGTCTCTAAATGCACATCAGCCCTTTTGATCCTTTAGATCAAATCCTTCTTCTAATATGTTTTCTGGTGCTTCCCACAGATCATCAGGTTTGTTTTGTTCATGCTGACTCACGTGCATCCATCACTTTCTCCCTTTAAGAACTCCTGGACCTACAGCCTTTGCCAGTGACCGCTCTGGGGAACCCAGAGTATGAGAGCCTTTACAAGTTCACTCACTTCAACCCCATCCAGACTCAGATCTTTCACACCCTGTACCACACGGACACCAACGTTCTGCTTGGAGCACCAACCGGCTCTGGGAAAACCATTGCAGCAGAGCTGGCCATGTTCCGGGTGTTTAACAAGTACCCGTCCGCTAAGGTTAGGGTTCCTGAACTCACATAAATTGATCATGTTAGTAATCATAATTATGAAAAATAAATCCCGGGAGCAGGTTGAGATGGGATTTAGAAATAAGTTGAAAGTTTAGATGAAGCTTTTGTAACTGGCAGAAGGATGATATAAAACTATTACTTTGTAATTATGGACGAAAGGAAGAAATATTTGTTCTGTTGTTCATTTTAGTCTCAACAGAAAAGGTCAAGGTGATTACAATGTCAAAGATCACTCTGCTTTTCAGAGTTGTGGGTCATTGTTGGGGCAAAATGAACCCCTTTTCTGTTCTGTTATCAATAACAGCAGGTAGTTATAAAACTAAGGTGATGCAGATGCTCATATGTGGATAGATGCTCTAATGTAGACCTTGGCAATGCAATGTTTCCTCTATAAGACTTTATGATGTAATGTGGTGTGCTTAGGTGGTGTACATTGCCCCGCTAAAAGCCCTAGTGAGGGAGAGGATCGAGGACTGGAAGGTCAGGATTGAGGAGAAACTGGCAAAGAGGTAAAATAAAAAAAGATGAGACCTCACCTTCGCAAAGAAATTCTCGTCACATAATCACCAGAGTGTCAACCATCTGGGTCTGGAGCTTTGTCGTAGACCTATTATTTAACTAATGACTTTCTGTATTGTTGCTTGTGAAGAGTGGTTGAGCTGACGGGCGACGTGACTCCAGACGTGCGAGCTATAGCACAGGCTGACCTCATTGTCACTACACCTGAGAAGTGGGATGGAGTCAGCAGAAGTTGGCAGAACCGAAGCTACGTTCAGAAGGTGGCCATCCTCATCATCGATGAGATCCACCTGCTGGGTAGGTGTCCTGTTCTGTTTCAGCACCAGCAGTTGTAAGAGAGGGTAATTGTAGTGCTTTTAAGCTTAATATACTATTCTACACTTTGACCAATATGATGTGAATTTCCATATAAATATGGAAGTCCAGTCTGATTGGTGTTTAATGTTTAACCAGAAGATTTAGAATTCTTTGTTTATTCAGAGATTGTAGAACACTTCGAACTGATTCAAGAAGAGAGTCAGGTTTATAAAAAGTAAGAATTTATTTTCCAAACAATTAAAAACATGACAAGTTAACTAATATTTACTGTGATAGATGGATCTAGGTGGATGGAATGTGATGTATGGTGGCTTTATTATGAATGTGAGGCTATCAGAACTTTCGTGTCTAGAAGAACTGAGTTCTGGGTGTAAAAAGGAAAGAATCTGGTTTGCGTTAAGCTATGAAGTTGATTCTTATCAAAAAGGCATCAGACACTATTTATGTGTCTATCTCACCCTTTGGAAGCCCTCTTTGTGGATCTGAAGGTCAGGGAGGTCGGATGACCTCTGGGCACCGAGGTGTGTAGAATAACCGCAGCACTGACTCTCCAGTCCAGAGATGTTTTCCGGGTCACACCAGATGGATGGAACCGTTTTCGTCTAGAAGGACTCTTATGGAGTCGGACCTGTATCAGCTTTCTTCTGCAGGAACCGTTTGCCGAGTCAGCGGTAGGCAGCTTTTAGCAGGGTTTTGGCAGCTTGCTAAAAATGCTCTGGGTTAAAGAGGCTTCGCTCCGGACGGCCGTTCCGTAGCGTTCTCTAGAACTAAATCACCGTCTCGTGAGCTCTGCTTTCATATTCCCATGTTATGAATTCTTGTCCAATCGGAACGTGCCATGTTAAGGCATATTACCAAGAAAACCTCAGAACATCACGCCTTCTTTGAAATACGGATGCTCTTATTTGGAGTAAGGAAATATCTACGTGTCATGAGTTTAACTTAACTTCAATTTGTCCTTGTGTCTGAGTGCAGGTAATGATTGCCTTGCCATATCAAACATTACTGGTTACCATATATATGAATCATTCAATGTAATAATTCATTTCATTTCAACTTTCAGTAGTTCAAGCACAGATCAATCAACCTTATTGGTTTAAGCACATATTAATGAAGACATTATTATTATATGAATGATTAACTCATATAAGCTGAAAACAGCCACTCTTATAACAGTTCAGTCCAGCCTAGATAACCAGGCAGGCTTGGCACAGAGAGACGTGTTCCGAGCTGCAGAGAGGCCCGGGCTCCAGCTGATGGAATATCAGGATCCAGCAGATTAAAGGCAACACGTGTAGACTCTTGTCTCCATGTAGACCAGATACTGAAGGGGTCAAACTGTTTATGAAACCTGGCCATTTCTGGACATTGCACAGTCATTGATTTGTTCACTGTCAGTAGTCTAGGGAAGGAGAGCAGGGCATCCAGTAGTCACGGGATCAGTGGTTTAAACCCAGCTCCTTCCCAGTCACTCTGCTGTTGTGTCCTTGTGCAAGGCACCTCACCTGCCTTGCATGTGTTGGTTGTTCTATCATATTAGAAACGAGCAGAATGTTCAACAAACTAATTAGCTGTGTGAGAAGGCTGCTAAAGGTCCAGTGGTGCTCCAACATAAGGCTGGACAAAAGAAACATTTATTTAAATCGTTTTCTTCTACATGAAAAGCCACTAGAACTTAGCTGAGGGCATTGAACTATTTGACAATGTGTGTGTGCAGGTGAGGACAGAGGTCCGGTGCTGGAGGTCATTGTATCCAGGACTAACTTCATCTCCTCTCACACATCAAAGAAGGTTCGAGTTGTTGGGTTGTCCACGGCTCTGGCCAACGCTCGAGATCTTGCTGATTGGTTGGGTATCGGTCAGGTAAGTAACAGCTCACTTGTCTGCTCCGTTTGACCAATCATCTCCACAAGCTCCTTTCTTTCAGCAGCAGGCAGGTTTTCAGTGAGAACGGCAGAAGCCAGTTTTTATAGGGGTATTTTTCTGTTTGTCATCATATCTACTTTAACTTGTAGATAATGTTGTACTTTATATCTAACGGTGGACGTCACAGTGACTGGTGGATGAAGAGAATACACAAAGGGCTTATTTAGATGTTTTGACTGATTTGTCTTTATATCAACATTTAGCACAGACTTTAGGATCAAGCTGAGCAGTGGCACAATAATCTGAGATGAGAACAGTGGAACGGCTGCTGGTGGTTATCAAAGACTCGCACATCATGGGCAGTGACAAAGTTTCTGCTGGTTTCTCCTCACCAGGCTGGAGCTGTTGGATTGGTTTTGTGTGTTCTGTTGAATGTGGTGGAGCTGTCCTTTGTTCTGTACTTTTTCAATTGAACCCACACATGTAGAAGAAAACACAGTCCTGATGACTCTGAGCATCCATCACACACACCGCAGCAGCAGTGACCTGCACACTGCAGCCAGATGGAGCTTCATGGTGCCAGCTGCTCACACCCATTGCTGTTTATCTTGTCTTTTCACCCCTATTGTCTAACAGGTGGGCTTGTTTAACTTCCGCCCGTCTGTTCGCCCGGTCCCACTGGAAGTTCACATCCATGGTTTCCCAGGGCAACATTACTGTCCCCGCATGGCCAGCATGAACAAGCCCACCTTCCAAGGTTCAGCTACAAAACACCCACGTGGATTCTTTAGACATGTCCACATCCTCTGTGTCAGAACAGATATTTAAACTTTTTACTGACTTTTATTCCATGATATTAAAGCTAAAGCTAATTTAGGTTTTTAAATAGTTATGCAGGAGAATTTTATCTGTATAAACTTAACTTGTTTCACTGGAGAATAAATCTAATCATTCTGTTATAACAACAAACCTGAACAGTCTCCCTATTGACCATCGCTCTACTGTTGGACTCTGCAGCAATACGCAGTCACTCACCGGCCAAGCCAGTGCTGATTTTTGTTTCATCGCGAAGACAGACTCGTCTAACCGCCCTGGACCTCATCGCCTTTCTGGCCACAGAGGACAACCCCAAACAGTGGCTGCACCAGGATGAAAGAGAGGTGGGCCAATGTTCTGTCTTCCTTTAATTCATGTAGCAATTACCTTGGGGCCCCTCTGTTCCTTCTGCTCAGTGAAGAGAGGGAGATCACCTCTACACAATAAAACATTCATCTTTTTATATGTCACTAATTCACAACACACCATCTCAGGGCACTTCACAAAGCAAACATTGCAGTTGAACCTACTTATTAACCAGTGCATTGAGTTAAATTCATTATGCTAATTAGTTACGTTTACTATCTAACTAAACCCAGCTGATTGCATGGAGTCACTGACTTGAAGCATCCACTCTGTTGTGTCACTGACTTTATATCATTCCCTCATATACAGGTGCTGGCCAGTAAATTAGAATATCATCAAAAGGTTGAAAATATTTCAGTAATTCCATTCAAAACGTGAAACTTGTACATTATATTCATGCAATGCACACAGACCAATGTATTTCCAATGTTTATTACGTTTAATTTTGATATTTATAGGTGACAACCAATGAAAACATCAAATCTGGTATCTCAGAAAATTAGAATATTCTAAAGGCCAATGAAAAAATGTTTGTTTCTCTAATGTTGGCCAACTGAAAAGAATGAACATGAAAAGAATGTGCATGTATAGCACTCAATACTTAGTCGGGGCTCCTTTTGCCTCAATAACTGCAGTAATGCGGCGTGGCATGGACTCGATCAGTCTGTGGCACTGCTCAGGTGTTATGAGAGCCCAGGTTGCTCTGATAGTCGTCTTCAGCTCCTCTGCATTGTTGGGTCTAGCGTATTGCATCCTCCGCTTCACAATACCCCATAGATTTTCTATGGGGTTAAGGTCAGGCGAGTTTGCGGGCCAATCAAGGACAGGGATACCATGGTCCTTGAACCAGGTGCTGGTGGTTTTGGCACTGTGTGCAGGTGCCAAGTCCTGTTGAAAGGTGAAGTCTGCATCCCCATAAAGTTGGTCAGCAGCAGGAAGCATGAAGTGCTCTAAAACTTCCTGGTAGACGGCTGCATTGACCCTGGACCTCAGGAAACAGAGTGGGCCAACACCGGCAGATGACATGGCACCCCACACCATCACTGACGGTGGAAACTTTACACTGGACCTCATGCAACGTGGATTCTGTGCTTCTCCGCTCTTCCTCCAGACTCTGGGTCCTTGATTTCCAAAGGAAATGCAGAACTTGCTTTCATCAGAAAACATAACTTTGGACCACTCAGCATCAGTCCAGTCCTTTTTGTCCTTGGCCCAGGCGAGACGCTTCTTGCGCTGTTTCTTGTTCAAGAGTGGCTTGACACACGGAATGCGACACCTGAATCCCATGTCTTTCATGAGTCTCCTCGTGGTGGTTCTTGAAGCGCTGACTCCAGCTGCAGTCCACTCTTTGTGGATCTCCCCCACATTTTTGAATGGGTTTGTCGTCACAATTCTCTGCAGGGTGCGGTTATCCCTAGAGCTTGTACACTTTTTTCTACCACATTTTTTCCGTCCCTTCGCCTGTCTGTTAATGTGCTTGGACACAGAGCTCTGCGAACAGCCAGCTTCTTTAGCAATCACCTTTTGTGTCTTGCCCTCCTTGTGCAAGGTGTCAATGATTGTCTTTTGGACAGCTGTTAAGTCAGAAGTCTTCCCCATGATTGTGGTGCCTTCAAAACAAGACTGAGGGACCTTTTAAAGGCCTTTGCAGGTGTTTTGAGTAAATCAGCTGATTAGAGTGGCAGCAGGTGTCTTCTATATTCAGCCTTTTCAGAATATTCTAATTTTTTGAGATACCAAATTTGGAGTTTTCATTAGTTGTCACTTATGAATATCAAATTTAAATGTAATGAACATTGGAAATACATTGGTCTGTGTGCATTGCATGAATATAATGTACAAGTTTCACGTTTTGAATGGAATTACTGAAATATCTTCAACCTTTTGATGATATTCTAATTTACTGGCCAGCACCTGTAGATCATACATGCAGCAGCAGCGGAGAGGGAAAAGTCCACTTAGACAAGACAGAGCCTGATGACTAAAAGATCTGCCCCCATTCTATTTTTACACACTCTAGGAACCACCAGTAAACCTGCAGTCTGAGAGCAAAGTGTTCTGCTACGAAAATAGGGAACAGTCGGATCAGACAAATGAATTGAAACTGAATTCATTAGCAAATATGCTAACAACCATCAGTACAGTGAGGAACATAAGTATTTGAACACCTTGCAATTTTGCAAGTTCTCACACTTAGAAATCATGGAGGGGTCTGAAATTCACATTGTAGGTGCATTCCCACTGTGAGAGATAGATTGTAAAAAAAAAAAATCAGGAAATCACATTGTGTGATTTGTAAAGAATTTATTTGTTTTGCACTGCTGCACATACTGTAAGTATTGAACACCTGAGAAAATCAGCATTAATATTTGGTACAGAAGCCTTTGTTTGCAATTACGGAGATCAAACGTTTCCTGTATAACGTTTCCATTCAAGATCTGTACACCTCTAGGACATTGAGGCGTGCAGGTCGGATAATAGCTGACTCGTCTCACCCTGGACACAGTCTCTTCGACTCGCTCCCATCTGGCAGAAGGCTCAGATCCATTCGGACCAGAACCTCTCGCCACAAAAACAGTTTCTTCCCCTCTGCAGTTGGACTTTTGAATGAAAATCCTAGGGCAGCCCACTCAAGTTGATTGGTCCCAGTCACGTGACCCGATGCTGTGCTTGAACCATTCAACAAACACTCAGATAAATACCTACACGGAGTAGATAGCTGCTTCTCTAATTCTTGCCACTTTTTACATTAATAATTTTATCATGAGTGTTTTATTAGTTCTTATATTTGCTTATCTCTTAATTAATTTTTTTTTCTATCTTACCTTCTGCACCAAAATACCGCAGCAATTTCCTAATGTTGTGACTTGGCACACATATGGCAATAAAAACTTCTGATTCTGATTCTGTAGTTCTTGACCAGGTGTGCACATACTGCAACAGAGATTTTGGCCCACTCCTCCGCTCAGATCTATAGATCTGTCAGGTTCTGGGGCTGGTGCTGAGCAACACAGAGTTTCAACTCCCTCCAAAGATTTTCGGTTGTATTTAGGTCTGGAGACTGGCTAGGCCACTCCAGAACCTTGATATGCTTCTTACGGAGCCACTCCTTGGTTATCCTGGCTGTGTGCTTCGGGTCATTGTCATGTTGGAAGACCCAGCCACAACCCATCTTCAATGTTCTGACTGAGTGAAGGAGGTTGTTTCTCCTCTTCTTTATACAGTGCAGTCGTCCTGTCCCCGTCGCAGAAAAGCACCCCCAAAGCATGATGTTTCCTCCCCCATGCTTCACAGTAGGGAAGGTGTTCTTTGGATGCAACTCCTTCTTTTTCCTCCAAACACGGCGAGTGAAGTTTAGACCAAAATGTTCTATTTTGGTCTCATCTGACCACATGTCTTTCTCCCATGCCTCCTCTGGATTATCCAGGTGGTCATTGGCAAACTGCAGACGGGCCTGGACATGTGATGACTTGAGCAGGGGAACTTTTTGTGCAATGCATTATTTGAAACCATGACGGCATGGTGTTCTACCAACGGTGACCTTACTGTAACTGTAGCAGTAAGGGAGGGCATAAACACAAATACCCGCCAAAACAAAGCTCTAATTGTTCTGGGTTCACTTCAGCATCATAGCACACTCAGCTGCTTCGGCAGAAGAGTAACAATGGGATGGTTGATGTATATGGAACTAGAATTGGGACAATATTCATGTAACTTGTACCAAGCTTTGTAACTGTAACTTTCATTTTGTTACTTGTAATTCTCGTTTTGTAACACGTAACCTTTGGTACATAACATGAAACTTTCATTTTGTAACTTGCAGCAAACAGTCAATGTACAAGTTTCAAATCACAACTCTTAAAACACAAATCTCAGTCTACAGTTACAAAACTCAAGTCTATAAGTACAAAACATTTTGTCTCAATTCTAGCTTGCTAGAAGTTGCATGTTACAAAACAAGAGTTACGTGTTACAAAACAAGTTACAGTTACAAAACATGGTACAAGTTAAATGTGATATTGTCCCAATCCTAGTTCCATAGATGTAATTTACTGGTTTTCCTGCACATTAAAGCTTCTCTATTCTCTGCTATTTTACTGTCCGACCCCTGCTGTAGTTTTTATTAGCTGCAGACATTATTGGGTCTGAAAAAATATGTTTTAGGTATGAGTATAAAATGAAGATCAAACAGAACATTGTTTATCCCCAGCAGAGAAATGTGACACAACTGTGGTTGGAGTTGGTCACCAAATTTAGGGTAAAATGATGATAAACTACAAACAAATTGAGACATGATTAAGACATTTTACAAGTGAGGTGCAACAAGAAAATGTGCAGCAGTCACACAGCTGTAGAGATTTGTCATCTGCTCCATATACCTGGCCAGGTGTAGGACCTGTAGCTAATGTGTCATATGTACAAATACATTTCATTTCAACTAAAAACGTTATCGTCCACTTTAGTGTCTTAAGCTCTTCATCTACAGCTGCAGCTGGTGAGATTGAGATTGAGGCTCGACCTCACAGAAAATCATTTTGCTTTTTGTCTAGTTTAAATATAGATGATGATTTTTATCATTTGTTAAAAGAAAATGATGATCCACTTCACCAAAATGCCTACATGAGGATGACTGAGTAGGATGTGAGTCTGTAGTCTGTCTCTGATCCATCCAACACGTCCACAGATAGAGGACATCATTGCTACAGTGAGGGACTCTAACTTGAAGCTAACGCTGGCCTTTGGGATTGGTATGCATCACGCAGGCCTTCACGAGAGAGACAGGAAGACTGTGGAGGAGCTGTTTGTGAACTGTAAGATCCAGGTAAGACAATCATGTGGTTCAGCTCCTGACCAGTACAAAAACATTCATGTAGTTTTATTTTGTTAGCAAAGTAAAGTCCAGCTTAATCTCTTAAGTCACCTGGAATCTTGTGTTCTTCTTTGTTTTTGTGTTCCCTGTTTTTGTCCTGATGCTTGGTTTGATTCTGCACCACCTTATCCACCACACCTACCAGAGCTGAGATCAGATCAGCCGTTCCCAGGTCTAAGCTTAGAACCAGAGGAGGTGGAACATCCTCATTAGGGAACCTTGGCTAAAACCACCAATCAGTTTAAATCATTGCTATTGCACCTTATTGTTTCCACTGTAAAAATAAAACATGGGGAGACATAATGTTTCCCTACTAGTAAAGTAATAATAAAAGTATTTTATTTATTTAACCTTTATAAAACCAGGAAACTCTCATCAAGATTAAAAATCCCTTTTCAAGGGAGACCTGGCTAAGATGAGCAGCAGCAAGAATAAAGATTAGAGTGAAAACATAACAGATTTAAATCGGTTTAAATGAAACTGGTGAGTTGATAGGAATTGTTTCTGTTCTTTAGCCTTTCTTCCTTTAACAGGCTCTACTTGCTTAAATAAAAGGAAAGATCAATGTGTGATAAAGTTTTTCCCTTTGGCTGTGGTCTGGATCATGATGACCTTTGACATTCCAGAGGTCCACATAGACTTGTTTCTGGTTCTTTTCTGGTTTATTATTTAAACCAAAGTAAAAACCTGATCTATGTTACCAGGTTCTGATTGCCACGAGCACTCTGGCCTGGGGGGTGAACTTTCCTGCTCACCTGGTGGTTGTCAAAGGAACTGAATACTACGATGGGAAATCCAGACGCTACGTGGACTATCCCATCACAGGTAAACATCTCTACAGGTGCTTCAGACCCAAGACACCTTAGTGTGTGTGAAGATCCCACATACACTCTCTCTGTTGGCTTTTCTCGAGGCTTCAGTCCAGCATGTTTAAAAACAGCTGGGCTTGTTTTCGTGCAGATGTCCTGCAGATGATGGGGAGAGCTGGTCGTCCCCAGTTCGATGACCAGGGCAAAGCTGTCATTCTGGTCCATGATATCAAGAAGGACTTCTACAAGAAGTTTCTCTACGAACCGTTCCCTGTTGAGTCAAGGTAACAGACTCATGTTTGTTAATATTATGTTTGCTATTTGTCTCGCAGCTTTCTTGTCTACAGAAGAATCCTTTTTGAGTTCACAGTAAACCACATTTAACCCTAACTGAATGATCTGCTGGGTATCAAGAGCAGCCAATATTCGATCCAACAGTCCTAATCTGTGTTGAGCCTAATCTGAAACCCAAAAATCTGCTGTTTGTCCTGGTCTGTGTCTAGCTCCCTCTTAAAGGTTCAGTGATCATGAAAAATGTGAGGATCTTAATCAGAAATGCAGGAGGTGTCTGGATGGCAGGAGGCACCAAATCCATTGTAACGCAGACCTCCTCCTCCCCAGCACCTCTCTTCAGCTCCCTGAAAGTTCTACCAGACTGCCCGATGGACTTGAAGCTTGAAACCTGGCTCACCCCACATAATCACCCACAACACAAGCCCGTCTGAGCACACGTTTTTATTTTTTTTGTCTTTAGTTTTTTTTATAACATCCTGGATGAACACTGATGCATAGTGTCTGTGTGAGGTGTGCCCTTTTCCCTGTCTGCTGTCTGAGCCCGACCCGGCCCAACCAATTCCCTTCATTAGTCAGTCCCACCCATTGGGCTTACTCATGGTGCAGTTGAGGACTGTACTATGGGCCCATGTTGGCCCATCAGACCAGCTATCGCCACTCTCAGGAGGAAATTAACACTTGACCTTCACACGGCCTCTGAGCTCCGACTGGAGTCTTTTTGAGAACCAAGAAACTGAGGAGCACATATATCATCAATAGGTGTGTGTGTATATATATATATATATATATATATATATATATATATATATATATATATATATATATATATATATGTATATAATGGGGGTCAGAATTTAACAAGTTATTTATGATTGATTGGGGAAAAAATTGCCAGTTAATGAAAATTAACACACAGCTTGTATTTCAAGCAGGGTGGAACCTTTGTCAGTGCAGATTTCCTGGTACACCGATTACACTGCCACACACAAAAGAACCCTGCTCTACTCACGACTACTAAAGTGGAAGAAATTTTGGTAACGCATCCTTTTACAGTCCCCTAATTACTAAGTAATTACTATGTAATTACTTACATTGTAATTACATATTAAGTTAAAGTGTATTATTGTGTAATTGAAGTGTACAATTGTAATTAAGTGTAATTATTGTGTAAAGCAGTATTTACTGGGAATGATTAATACAAATAAAAACTAGAATTGAACTTGAGTTACGTGGTAATAACTGTTAAAGAACTCAGAACACAATGATACACTTTAACTTACTATTAGGGCTGCAACAACGAATCGATGAATTCGATGAAAATCGATTACTAAAAGCGTTGGCAACGAATTGCGTCATCGATTCGTTGTGTTGCGCAACTCTTCCAAAAGCCCCCTCCCCTCCCGCCCGCCGTTGCGCGCAGACCGGTGGAGAGCCGGCAGGTGTTTGTAAGAGGAACATGGCAGAAGCAGCGAGACCCCAAAAAAGTTAAAACTTCTAAAGTTTGGGAGCATTTTCAGTTAAATCAGGCGAAGACATGCAACGTTTGTAGGTCAGACTTAGCATGGCACGGGGATACTACGGAGATGATGCAGCGTCTTAAACGCAAGCATGTCAGAATCATCAGCGAGGAAGGAGAGAGCTCGGTGTCCGGGTAAGTTAAAAACTTTTCAAAAGTGATTCACCCAAGCCCCAGATTATTACACAGGCTAGACATGCCCTAAGCTCGTAAAAAAAGTCTATAAAATTGTAAGCGCGACGCTATTTGATAGTCGGGGGGGGGGGACTCGCGCCGCTGCGAACCGGTTCCGCCGTCACATTCCCGCAGAAACTGGTTGATCACACCGGGGCCAGACTACTAGCATGTGGTTTTACAACCACAATGTCCTCAGAAGCAAAAACGCTTTTAAAAGGGAGGGAGGAGTCCTAACTGTTGCTGCAGGCGTGTTGTGTGTGAGTGCAGTTATATACTGGTTAATATATTTTTGGGTTCATTTGCTTTCATGTGGCCTAATGTGAGTCTATTTGGGATCATTGGAATGATCAGCAGCATTTCTTGATGTGACTGTATGGCAGTTGCCCAGGGCATCATCGCAAGGAGGATGGCATTCATTTACTTTTGTTTTATTTGGTATTTTTCAGTCATTTTTGGAAATAGTGATTAATTTTGATTAATTCACAGCCTATGTTTAATTACATTTAAAAATTAGTTGTTTGACATCCCCAATTATAATAAATGTCTACAGATGAGATCAAACAAAACAGATGAGAATTGCCCTTAAGCTGTTTAACTTGGACCAAGCATTTTAGGTCACAGATAGATGTAGCTTAGGGTCTCTGTCTATACACCTTATAAGACAATTTAGGTGATGGCATGTTGTTTTTCTGCTATTGAACTGTTTTCTAATAATGTTGTGTTTAATAAAGTGAAGGAAGGAGAAAAATAACGTTTCCCTGGCAGTTTTTAAAAATGTCCCTATGTAATCCGATTAATCGATTAATCGTGTCGAGACCCCATCCGATTAATCGATTATCCAAATAATCGTTTGTTGCAGCCCTACTTACTATGTCATTACCATGTAGGTACTAGTAATTAGGGGACTGAAAAAGGAAGCGTTACCAACATTTTTTAAAACGTGCCTTGCTTGGACCGATGCAGTGTTTGAGAAAACACATCAGCCTCTTCTCTTAACTTGTAAAAGAAAATCTTCCTGAAAACCGCGGAGTCTGCGACACGGGTATTTCTCAGAGCTGTGATCTGAGTACTGGAGGCTTTAAAGACCCTCACAAACATGAAGTAAGCTAAATTCTTAGTATTTTAACATTTATGCAGCAATGAAAGCAGCAGACAGAATGAAGTTTGACTCTCAATAGTTCTGTAAAAAAAACAGATAAGTAGTGAGAAGTTGAGCTGACCTCTCAATGAGGATGGTTGATCTTTCCCAACCTGCCAAAAGTCATCCATATTTAGTCCTACCTCCTGAGCTCTAATCAGGAGCAGCATGACCAGCCGCAGGCTGGTGGCATTAGAAGCTGGTCTCTCCCCCTTCAGCTCTTTAGGCTGACATGTCCATCGCCCTGCATCCAGAGCCTTCTCTGATGTTTATGCTTTGGTAGCTTTAAACTTCCTGGGTATGTTAGCCGTGTGCTAGCATAACTTCACTTGCCTCCAGTACATGTTGGAAATGATTTTTAGTTTTCTTTTGATCCTCTGGCAGGTTTTTAAAGTCAGTAGCAACATAATTTTTAAAAATACAATTGGTCATAAATCCCAGCTAAAGGCATGAACAGAGAGTGCCTGGAGAAAATGAAAAGAACACAGAAACAAATGTGTACCATTGTCTTGGATGCATAGAATGACGAATTGTTTGTATTGAAGAGTAAACTCAGATATGTGTTACGTCTCCAGCCTCCTCGCTGTGCTGTCAGACCATCTGAATGCTGAGGTTGCAGCTGGAACCATCTCATCCAAACAGGACGCCATGGACTACATCACTTGGACGTATTTCTTCAGACGGCTGGTGATGAACCCCAGGTTTGGAAAACTTACTCGCTCTGTTCACCAGACCTACAACAGCCGTCGGTGTAGATCAGTGCCAAAGCAGACACGCATCTTAACATACTGATGTTCTCCTCTACGACTGAACCTTCGATCATTGTAGATCAGTTTAATCACGTGATCATCAAAGCAGCACTTCTAACTGACCCAGGATCTGTTGTGCCAACACTTTACCGCAGGTGGGGTTTTCTGCAGGTTTTAAAAACAGCAAATGCTGTGAGTGGGGAGGGTTGCAGGAGCTGGAACCGATGCTGGAGCTGGAGTGGAGCACCGGCAGTGCATTTGTTTGTTTTTCTATTTTGCTGTGGCGTTGATAACTGTGGTCATTTGTTACTTATTTTCTGTCGCTCGCTTGGCACCATTGGGGAATGTGAGATGGAGAGGCTGGGTCGCCCACTTCCTGCAACAGCAGAAAAGGACTTACATTAATAAAACTATCAGGACTTGAAATTGAAATGTCTGTCCCTTTAAAACTCTGTTTGATTTTTTTTTTCTGATGGCACAAACAGTCACAGAGTTCTGGTAATTCGGTAAGCGTGTAAAATGTGTCAAGGTTGGGTGTTACAGTGGCGTTTTAGTAAAAGCAAACATCCAGGTGGCCCACCTTTGTAAAACAATGACAGGACGACTCTGCATGCTTGTTTGAAAGCATTTCTTAACGTTAGTTTGGTTTTTTTGGCGCTACTTCCAAGACCTCTCAGCCAGGTCTTGTTTGTAAATGACAAAATGTCTTTCAGCTTTTCACCTGGTAAAATAAAGGTTGAAAACAGTTCTCATCTTTGCACCATTAGAGGTATAGCCTTTAACGTTTTGATGTCATTTCCTGTCATGTTTGTAAATGTTACTGTTCTTTGTGACTACGGGGCTGGAGCTGCAATTGGAGAAATTCATGAATTTCATTGAAATCACAATTTCAACCTGAAAAATTGTAATTTGATCTTTGCCTGAAATCGCTCAGCCCTATTCTTTGTCCTCCACCTATTAAGAGGCTTTTTGTCCAGCATCTTAAACAGAGACCATTCCAGAACATTCCAACCTCCTGGGATTTGCTAGGCTGTCAGCCCTTAACTGCTGGCTGCAAACAAAAGCAAAACTGATCATCCAGGATTCCAGTTAGTTCTGCATCAATTTTTTTGAATGTTTAAACAAACCACAACAACTTCCTCTGAGCTGTGTTGGGCGAATCTTAAGGTGGCGTCAGCCAACATGGAGGCATGCATACTGGTTGTGAGCGGGAACAGAAGTATATACCAGCAGTGTTGGCAACGTTACTTTAAAAATGTAATTAGTTATAGTTACTGATTACATTGTCAAAAAAGTAACTCAGTTACTAACTGAGTTACAAGATTATAAAAGTAACTAATTACCAAGTAAAATATCTACTTAGTTACTTTTTTCATTAAAGCATGCAAGAATTACTACAATAGTGAAATATAAATGACTAATGACTGGAACATAGTAAAATGATGTCCAAATTTTTTTTATAAACCTGAATAATTTAAATAAATAAGCACTTAACAGGAGGAACTACTAACAGGAGCATTACACTAATCTAGACTATTTAAAGGTCACTGTGTGATATTTAACAAGACCCCAATCAGCTAAAATGTAAAATTGCAAATAGAAACACCTGTAAAGGTTCCCGAGCCTTTAAATGGTCTCTCAGTCTAAATTACAGAAATGAATTAAATTTTGCACAGCATTTTAAATTTTCCAGCTTCACATAATTGCGTGTTATTAGTAGCATTTCTGTTGCTGGTAATCTAGTAATGGTTAAATAAATAAATAAATAAAATCATTTAAAATGACACTAGAAGAGGCACAAACCTGATGGAGGACTTACATTTACTAACTTGGGTCAGGCCCAACCACAGTTACAGCGGGACTGAAGACATGATCAGAAACAGGTTACAGCTGGATGATCTAGGAAGGTAGAAGATCAGGACGTCTGAGCGGTGAACAGGTGAGCGGACCTTTGGGACGTCCCGCTGTCACGCTAAGAAGGGCACGGCTGCAGATCCACACCTGCAGCTGTAGACTATTCATCACGTCTTCCTCGTTCTTCACGGCCGTGATGCGCTTGGATGAAAACATCTACTTCTTTAGCTCCTGATCAGCTGATGACAGCTTCAACACACTGCGCTGCTTAACGCACGCATTTCCTTATCAGTAACAGAAACGATCGTTTTGATAAAAGACTGTAATAAATTAGTTAGCTCGTTACTGAAAAAATATATATTTTTTATTAACGTGGTTATTTTAAACGGCGTTATTCCCATCACTGCTCTGTTGTGTCTACAACATGCAGTGACTGAAACGGTGAGGGTCTCTGCCCACCCGGCCAATCATCATCGTGTTTGTAAGTGCGTTACCGACACCTCTCTCTCCCTGGCTGCAGCTGAAGTGTGGCGGTCAGAAAGCCTCACACTGTTGTTCAACGTTCGACAAGCACATAGTAACGCACAACCTTCCGTCCCCAGTAACGGAAACGGCGTTGCAACAGTGGGAAAAGTAATTAATTAGATTATTCCATTACCTAAAAAAGAACTCCGTTAGTAACGCCGTTATATTTAAACAGAGTTACTCCCAACACTGTTACCAGTACCAGTAGGATGTTTGCAAAAATTCTGCAACATGACAGAGAACATAATTTGGGACTGTGCTGCCTTTTGACTTAGTCCTGATTACAACTGATTTGCAGGATGTAGAAAATAAATGTTCTGGTTTTAACCAGTTCAACTGAAGTAACTCAGCATCCACCCTTGTTTTTGCTTGTTGGGTCACACTGGCCCTTGGGGGACCCAATGTTTGTGTTTCCTCTGCTTACAGGAGACGGGACTTGATGTTCCAGTAATTTAACTCTAACAGCATTACTTTTGGGTGCAAGTAATCAACAAAGAAACAGTTACTTTTATAATAAGGTAACTAATTACTGTAACTAGTTCCTTTTTCAGTAACTAGCACAACACAGGCTACTAGTAGATATTAATTATACTGAAGGATATACGTACATAATAACTGCACTAGTAGGAATTAGGTTGGAGATATATCTAAAACATTAAATAGACAGGATATTTATTCAATTTAATTTGAATTGATTGAAACGTTTATTTGAACATGAGACAAAAATCCTCTCCTCTTTTCTCCGTACTCTTGCTTCTCGATGTTGACTCCTGTTTGACTCCTCTTTCAGTCAGACGTCCTTTTTCTCTTTTTTGTTTCATCATATTAACGTTTTCTTTGTTTCTTTGAAGGCTTGATGAACATGATACGATAAATGCTAACCATCTCTAGCTCGTCTGTCATAAGATGTATAAACCTGGATTGCCATAAAGTGTTACTGCTTCATTCGGGTTACGTGACTTCAGGAGGCTTCAGGAAAGGATGTTCGATATTATTGGTCTAACATTAATATCGACCGATATTGGCCTGAAAATGTAATATTGGAAAATATCGGTAACGATTTTTACTCATTATTAGGGCTGCAGCAAATGATTATTTGGATAATCGATTAATCGGATGGGGTCTCGACTTGATTAATCTGGTTAAACTGGAAAATTTTAAAACTGCTAGAGAAATGTTTTTTTTCTCTCCTTCCTTTACTTTAACAACAGAACATGATTAGAAACAGTTCAGTAGTGTGCAAAACAACATGCTATAATCTAAACATATCTGTAATTTAACTATGATCAGTAAAACGTAATGTAGACTATTTTATTAACATGTTCAGTAGTAAGCTACTGGAAATGCTAATAACGTTTCATTTTTACTGCTAAAAATGCAATGGTGACATATTATGTAGGGGTCAGCAATAATCTAGTTTAAATTATGTTCACAGACACATTTGTGAATTACATGCTACAGTGGCTTGCCATAATCCTGCTGCAGTGTGTAGAGCAAAGCAGACTCGATGCAGCAACCTGACTGCAATGGTTATTTATTCAGCAGCACCTGTAAATGAAGCTGCTTCTTACATGAATTTTGACACTAGTGTTACATACTGCTCCTTTATATGCATACCCTCTTTTTATTGCAACTGTGTCAAGTAATAAATCGCTGTTGTTTTAGCCTTTAATTCCTACAACACATACAAGCACAGCCACGGAGCCTCGTGGGAATCATTAACTATTGACTCACTGTGCCACCGGAAGTCTGGCGGTGCTGATATGGCCATGACTTAATCAGACAGGCATCAATAAAGAGCTGTGAAATGTGTGTGGTAATAAACACATTTGGAGCTCAGTGCTTTGTGCTATTAACATGTGAAGTGTCTGCAATGAAGGTAATACTTTACATTAAATACAGCACTCACACCTTTCAGCTGCTGCTTCATTCGTGATCCCAGGCTAGCTGCAACATTTGTTGTGTTCTGTGGTTGTCATTAAGATATTCTTTGTTAAAATGCATTAAGAGCCTAAGCAGAGAGGCCCAGACCTCCCTCTCCCCAGCCACTTGGCGATGCTGGAGCAACTCAGCCTTGCCAGATACCTCAACGGAGCAGGGGCTAAAAGTAGGGGAGAAAGTAGAGAGAAAATACTGAACCATGCCCTTGTGAACAGTGTTCGGGCCGAGCTGCATCGGTCTGAGTTACTGAGTAGTGCTCATGGAAAACTAGCTTTACTGCTGGCAATGCAGACTGAGCTCTGACACCGGTCATACACGGACCTAACATCCTGTGTCAGAGAGCCTGGTATGCCATACTCTCAAAATACCCCCTACGGGGCCCCCCAAGAGATGCGTTTGAACTCCTTCTCCAAATCTAAAAAACATATTTAGATTGGTTGGGCGAACTCCCACGCACCCTCCAGGACCCCCCCTAAGGGTATAGAGTAGCGCACTACTTTCCCCACCTGAAGTGCCGGATGGTGGACCAGAATCTCCTGGAAGCCGTACAGAAGGTTTGCTCCATGGTCCCACCGAACTCCTCTCACGCCCAAGGTTGTGCCTCTGTGACCACCTGAGCCGCATTCTACTTGGACGGCAGATATCTATCAGCTGCCTCTGGAATTTCACAGGTCAAAAGACCCTATAGGACTTGTTCTTCTACTTGGCAGCATCCCTAACTGCTGGTGTCCACCAGCGGTTTCAGGAGTTGCCACCACAATAGGCACCACACTTGACCCCGTGGTCACAGCTCCAGTCAGCTGCTTCGACAATGGAGGCATGGAACGGGGCCCACTTGGACTCATTGTCCCCTACCTCCCATGGAACGTTTTGGAATTTCAGTCGGAGGTGGGAATTGAAGCTCCTTCTGACAGGAGACTCTGCCAGATGTTCCCAGCAGACCCTCACAATACAGTTGGGCCTCAGATCAGATCAGGGGGGCTATTCCTCCCAACCACACCCCTCCAGGTCTCGATGCCATTGCCCATGTGAGTGTTAAAGTCCCCCAGCAGAATGAGGGAGTCAGTGGAAGGAGTGCTCTCCAGCACCCATTTCCACATGATATGGCATGTTTCATCTAGTATCTCTAGCCGCCATCAGAGCTTTCCAGTGTTGGTGGCGTCACTGCCTTTTATCCGCTGGCAGCAGAGGACATCATCGCCCTCTACTGCCCGCGTCCTACACAAAGATCCCTGCCTTCGGCCACCACCGTCACACAGTGCTTCATGGTTGAAAGCCTGGCCACCAGGAGGTTGCCTACCCCCCCCCCCCCCCCCCCCCCCCCCCCCCCCCCCCCCACCCCCAGCCTTATGTTCTGGAAGACAAGTAATGAAAATGATGAGAATTTTCCTACTTTCGTGTTTTTTCCCATTTAATTTTATGATTTGTTAGCATATGATATATTTTTAAGAGTTAAAGTCTAAAAATAACTTTTCTATACTGAAAGACAAAACGATTTTCTGAGGAGAAATGGTAAATATTGTATGTGAATCTTATAAGTCTATAAAGATATTTTATTTCCTGACTTCTTATCATGTCAGCATCTGTTTTTATACTCTTATCTGGGTTCAGGTCAAAGGGGTAGCATCTTATCCAGAGGGGTCCAAATGCCCCCCAGCAGCCTCCACCAGACAAACTGGCGGGATCCCCAGGTGTTGGTCCTGGGTCCTGAGTTGACCTGGGGGACTCCTGCTGGCAGGATGTGCCCAAAACACCTCCCTTTCCTCATCATCACTGCTTTCCTCTCACTACAAAAATTATAGCTCTAGGCTGGCCTGGCAACACGCTGAGTTCTCAGCTCTACCAGTCTGGAGGCCATGTTGTGAGGAGCAAGACCATCAGCATGTCTAAGTTCAAAGCCAGCTGTCAGAATGGTGAACGGTTTAGTCTTGACTTTGGGTTTTCTATGTTCTCAGTTACTACAGCCTAGAAGACATCAGCCATGAGTCCGTGAACAAGTATCTATCTAGTTTGGTGGAGAGGAGCTTGCGGGACCTGGAGTGCTCTTACTGCATTGAGATTAAAGAGGTATGTGTGTTTGTAGTGTTATAAGGTATTTAGGTTTTCCACGATGTGCAACCTATTTATTTACTAAAACGTTTCCATTTATGCTCCAGGATGATCGAACAGTTGAGCCACTGACGTATGGTCGCATTGCCTCCTATTACTACCTGAAGCATCAGACCATCCGCGTGTTCAAGGAACGAATAAAAGCTGAGCTTCCCATCCCAGAGCTGCTCTCAATCCTAACAGTGAGTTTCACTTAGAAAATGCTAAGCTGTGTCACCTACTTTAGTACTAGAGGTGGTTAAAAGGGGGAACCTGTTAAGAATATCCCTAGCTGTAGTAGCCCGGTACCCCACTTGTATAACCCGGTGTTACAGAGCCCTGTCTTTCAGCAGGAAAACAAAAACTGAGCTCCTTTCTGAGAGCCAGATAGAAACCAGCTCAGATTTCTGTTTATTTTGGCATGTGTCTAATCAATTACGCTACATAAGAAACGATACGTTCAATGCATTCTAAAATACCAAAGCATAAAATCACCAGAGAACATTTACAGCTGGCATATGTTTAGGAAATGATACGATTGTCAGTATACCTTAAAATAAGTTCCAAGCCATTTTTAGCTAGGTTCATTATTTGTTTTAGAGATTTTTTCCACATGAAAAAAATCATAAATTCATCCATTTGTTAATTCATTTAGTTGATAGGGACAGTGCACATGAATGAACATCTACTCAAACATCAATGCATGTAAATATTCCGGAATTATAGCAGGAATGCTAATCCTAATCTGCAGTTGCTGTTCCAGATCAAACCGGCCTTTCAGAGAAAGCCTTTTGTTCAGTGGCTGTTTGTCTCTAATGGGACCTCACAGCCTCCTCTAGGGGTGTGTCATTTTCAGTGTTGGGCAAGTTACTTCAAAACTGTAATGCATTATTTATTACTTGTTACCCTCATTTTAAAGTAATTCATTACATTACAATATTACTGATTTTAAAATGTAAGGCATTACACTACTTTTGCATTACTCTAAGTTACTTTCAACAAAACAACTTCAGTATGAGTTTGGTAATCTGATGCCTGGTGAACTCATGACACATCCGGTGGAAGTTGATGTGGTGTCTGAGCTAGGATTGCTGTTAAAAACAGTTCTTTAGAAGGATTGTTTATGTAATAAATGCAACAACAAAATGTACTCTCAACACGCTGCCATCTTAGATTAACTGAGCGGCGAGTGAGGTGGTGGGGGCTCCAAGCCTATTTGCCTTGGTCCCCAAATGCCTTGATACGGCCCTGGATGTGGGACTGACTTCTGGGGTGATCTGATTCTATCTAGGGATGCACCGATGGATCGGCATTTGATCGTAATCGGCCGAAAGCGCCCCTATCGGTTTTGATCGGAATTTTCAAAATAGATCAAAGCAAACCGATCAGGTAGGGTTGTCACGGTAACCAGTGTAGCGCTAAACCCCGGTAAAAAAAAAAAAAAAAGTTGACAATAATAACCGTCTTGTTTTTAAAAAACTATATTATCTTGGTGGGTTTACCGTGGCTGCGGTGTAGGCGCGGTGACCCTTACCAGCCACCGTATCATCTGCAGAAGTTGCCGGCGGTACATGCGCGCTTTGTTTACAACAAAACTTTCTTGAAGCTAAAGCTGAAATAATGGTCAAAGGAGGAGACGGCAGCGCTCAGGAGGACATTTATTATCCCTCAAAGAAGACAAAGTCGGAAGTACGGGCATATTTTAGATATTTGAAGAATGCCGAGGGAGTTTATAGAAGACGGCTATCCTGTTTGCAGCACGTGCAGAAAAAGTGTCTGTGAAAGGCAGCAACGCTTCTTATCTCATGACACATCTGCGTGACCATCACCCACAACTCTACAGTCAACGCAAGGCAAGTTAACGTTAGCGTTTTAGCTCAAATGCGTGATCCGAGGATTTGGGTTGAGGGAGAATGCAACGAGTCGCTATATAAAGCAGCCGCAGCGCCGCTACCTGCATATAAACCGTGTCGCGGACACCCCCATGTTGAAATGACGCTACGCATTACGGGGCTCCCAGGGACAGATAAGAGTTGGTCTCTCTCCGAGAATAATTATGAATTTAACAATGATTACTGCCTGATGACATTTTCCCACATCTGTAAAGCTCACTGGAAGGACACAAACCGAGGACAATATTTTCCTGAAATACGGATTGCTCAAGTAAGGGTAAAAAAAAAAGTATCTGATTAGAAGGCTACTTGAGTACTGAGTATCATCTGATCTAATATTTTTAAATGATGACATCAAACAGACATAAAATACAAAGTTATGGGCAAATATTGGTATTTTAAAGACTAAAGGGGAAAAATGTAAACAAATAAACAACATAATTACAAAATAACACATTTTAGGCAAAATTTAGACACAAACTGAGGACAATATTTCCTGACATACAGGGTTTATTTAATTGTGTGAAAATGTAGCACGTTTAAAAAAAATACCGCGATAATACCGAAAACCGTGGTAATTTTGGTCACAATAACCGTGAGGTTAAATTTTCACACCGTGACAACCCTAATACAAACCATTTTAGATTAGGTTACATTTCCTTTATTCCCAGATTATGTAGTTTGTAGCACTCATTATAATGTTGTAGAAAATTTCTGGCCAATCCACGTGATCGGTATCGGTGATCGGTATCGGTGATCAGCATTCTTTGATATCGGTATCGGTGATCGGCAGCAAAAAACCTGATCGGTGCATCCCTAATTCTATCACATGTATAAATATTAAATGCTTATGTATATTATTGCTTTTCACTGGTAAAAATGTGTATTGGGGATAAATCTACCTACATTTTTTCTTTTCAAGCACTTTGTTTTGTTTTCTTGATTTTATTTGAATAATTTCCTGCCCTTTCTCTCTCTAACCGTCCTGCATGCTGCATGTTCTCTCCGTCTTCCAGAAAAAACTGTTTCCTAGATTTCCTACTTTCTAACTAATCAGCCAAAGGGATCTTCACATGCGCGGCGCTCCAGCAGCAATGAGTTGAAATCACCGGAGCCCAGATTAACTCAGCTGAGGCAAAGCACGTCAGAAAAGTACAGAATACCAGAGAACATGCGCTGATATGAACGATCGCAGGTGAATTATTTTGTTTTAGTGGAGCGATTTTGTGAATGTTACAGCGGCCGCGCGCATGATGCAGCTGGAGTATTTGAGCCGTTACCGCTGCGTCCTCTCTGCCTGCAAAGCTGAGTCCATAAATGACGTAATATATGCAGATACTGGAACTTTTTTCGGGTTTCCCGCAATTTGAATTTTTAAGAAACACATCTTGATTCTGGGTTTAAAAATGCATTGTAATTCCCGCGTTACTGACAATTGTACCGAGTAAATATTACCATTTTCTTTCCCTGTAATGCCTTACATTACCACATTACAGCAAAAAGCAATGCATTACAGTAATTAATTACTTTTGTACCGCGTTACTCCCAACACTGGTCATTTTACGTACCTCACGATTCTATTTCGATTCAGGGTCCTACGATTCCACTATTAAGCCAGAACCACTGGTTTTGATGCATCTTTTTTACAATGTAGGTATTTTTTCTCACGTCGTCGATTTTTCAAACTTTCTAATTAATTCACTGCACTTAAATTAAAGTCACCCATTACCTTTTACTCCACTTTGCTATTCATGTAAAACTGAACACTGACCAAACATACTTTAGCATGAAATCTGCAGAAAAAACACAACTAATGAAGATGAAAGTAAACACAGGCGGTCTGTTTTGCTTTTGTAAAGAGAATCAGCTGAGACAGCAAACTGGAACGATGCAGAGATGCTGAGCTTCTGATCTTTAGATCTGAAACTCATATCGTCACACAGTTTATGGGAGACTGTGATGAACTAACACCTTTTGGAGCAGCTTGTGAAAAAAAAACGTAAGGAATGTGGCATCATGTAGCATTAAAAACAAGTTATTTTCAAGCTAAAGGGGAAATCCATGAGATTGCCCCCACAACCTTTTTACACCACCATCGCATTATCTAAAGGGAAAAGCTCATGCTTCAATTAAATGGTGAATCGACACACCCCTAGTCCCCTCTAAAATATGTCCTTAGTCCTGGATCTGCTGTGAACTTTATTTTAATCGTCAGACTTTGAAAGGGGGACTGCGGAGTGTGTTCCAACTACAAGGGAATCAGACTTCTAAGCCTCTCTGGTAATGTCCATACTGGGGTTCTGAAAAGGAGGGTCCGCCAGATAGTCGAACCTCAGATTCAGGAGGGGAAATGTGGTTTTAGTGCTGGCCCTGGAACACTGGACCAGCTCTATACCCTTAACAGGGTCCTGGAGGGTGCGTGGGAGTTTAAATGTGTTTTGTGGACTGGGAGAAGGCGTTTGATCGTGTCCGCTTTTTCTGTCTGTAAGTCAGGCATGTTCCTGGTGAGAGCTGAAATCTGCCAAGGCTGCCCTTTGTCACCAATTCTGCTCATAACTTTTATGGACAGGATTTCTAGGCACAACCAAGGTGTTGAGGGGATCCGTTTTGGTGACTTAAGGATCCGGTCTCTGTATTTGTACATAATGTGGTCCTGTTGGCTTCATCAGACCTTAAACTATGTGTGAAGCAGCTGGAATGAAAATAAGCTCCTCCAAATCTGAGACCATGGTCTTGAGTTGGAAAAGAGTAGAATACCTTCTCCAGGTCATGGATGAGGTTCTGCCTCAAGTAGAGGAGTTAAAGTGTCTCGAGATCTTGTTAACAAGAGAGGGAAAGATGGAGCTCAAGATCGATAGGTGGATTGGTGCTGCGCCTGCACTGATGTGGACATTGTACCAGTTGTCATGGTGAAGAGAGATGAGCTGGAAGGCAAAGTTCTTTATTTACCAGTTGATCTATGTTCCAACCCTCTTCTATGTTCACAAGCTTTGGGTAGTGACCAAAATAACAAGAAGAGCTTGTCCAAGTGGCTGGAGAGAGGGAAGTCTGGGGCGAGCGAGTGAGCAACACCATGGATCACTCTCCTTCCCTTCGGTTATGTGTTCAGACCATTAAATACACCATGAATAGTTTTCAGTTCAGTTTATTTATACAGCACCAAATCACAACAAGACTCGCCTCAAGACACTTCACAAAGTAAAACATTCCAGTTGAATTCAGTTCATTTTGCCAATTAAGTAAAAGTTTCCACTATTAGGAACCCAGCAGATTGCATCAAGCCAGACTTGTGTCAGACTTTACAGCAATCCTCATACTAAGCAAGCATGTAGCGACAGTGGAGAGAAACACTCCCTTTTAACAGGAAGAAACCTCCAGAGGATCCTGGCTCAGTATAAGCAGCCATCTGCCATGAATAACTGGGAATTGAGAAGACAGAGCACACGCACACACACACACACACACACACACACCACATATTTACCAAGTAGTGTTTTTATGGCTACATTGTGAATTCTTAGTAGATATTATATTTAGTAAGAGATTAACTTTATCGTCTTTATCTGAGTGAATCTATAATTAATCAACAGATGAACTAGTAGTAGCACACAATGAAATTAAAATATTATCAGGAGAGGGAGTGTGTGTCTAATGGTTGGCAGATGTGCGCCGGCCGATGGCTCTCACCAGGAAACCACCACAGCTCAGTAGAACGCCATTGTAGCTGCTTCAAGGAAGAAAAACACTTAAAAATAAAATAAAGTTCAAATCTGAAGTAACAGGAAATGTAAAATACTTTTACCCATGAGCCTGTAATGCCTTCAATACACTGAACTTTCTCCCCCTGCCTCCCCCCGATGGGTACTCCTGTCGTTTATCTCTTTGGTCCTTCCCAACGTCTTCCCCACCCCAGCCCCCACCCTGCTCTGGTCCTGGTTTTCTGTAACTGGCTTCTCTTTGTGATGGATGGAGCCCTAACAGTCGGAGCTGGGGGATGGTCATGACAAATGTCTCCTGCACAGCCTGTTGATGGGACCACATTAAAGAAAGTTCAACACAAGTGAATTAGAGGAAAATAGCTATTCGTGCCCATGCATCTTTTAGTAGAACAACCAACAACAAAGAAGAACTGACAGCCTCAACTAAAACCAGGATGGATGGGTGATGGTGATCACTCTACTGACCCAGCTGCTTTCTCATCTTCACTTTGTCTGTTCTATTAGTCAGACTGGTGAACATCAGCATGCTGTAAATACACGTTCTCTAAGTAAAACATGTCAAGCTTGGTGGAGGTGAAGGTTTTATTGGTCACGTGTTTCATTGTTATTTTTGTTTGTTACATGCTAGAGCAAAACTCCCAAACTGTTCGTGTCTGTGTCTGCTTCTCCACTCAGGCTAAACTTTGTGTTAAAGTAGATGTTTAGAGTGTATCTAAGCCCAGATGGAGAGGTTGATGGAATGACGCTGGTGTAGATTCTCAGACATCTACCACAGAACCTGTTTTTAGATTCTTGTGTTGACTTCAGAAAGTTTCTCTAGGGGATGAGATGTAGCCTCTGCCTCGTAGCAAAGCTTGTGCACTAGTGTGTGTTGGTGGTTAGCAGTACAACAAGCTGCTGCCAGCTCACATTTCACAGCTCAAGTGCAGAAGTGAGCAAAGAGGAAAACGAGCTGACTGGCGCGTCAGTTGCAGCGTGTTTACCGATGTTTTCCCTCAGTTCCATTCCATTAGATCTAGTTTAGGGGGGACTGCAGATCTGTAGATAAATATCATATGTCTAGAAAAAGAAAAAGCTGGTTGATGAAGTTTATTAGCATTATTGGTAGTTCAGGATTTGTCCATCATCAGGATTAATGAAAAGATTTTCTCTTGGGTGAAGAGCAGTAAGCAGCAGAGTGACTACATGCAGCTGTTGGAGAACAGATTCTCAGATTCTGCGTGTGTTTCAGGATGCAGAGGAATATGCTGAGCTGCCTGTCAGACACAACGAAGACCAGCTCAACAGCCAGATGGCTCAGCAGCTCCCTCTACAGGTCAACCCTCACTCCTTCGACAGCGCCCATACCAAAGCCCACCTGCTGCTGCAGGCCCACTTCAGCCACGCCCAGCTCCCCTGCAGTGACTACACCACAGACACCAAGACGGTGCTGGACAACGCCATTCGGATCTGCCAGGTAGAGTTCACCTGGCAGCTGAGACTCAACAGCTTGTCACAGTTTTGTCTGCAACAGCAATGATGTTTGTGTTAGAGAATTATTACCAGCTGTGTCTGGAAGCTGACCAGCGTAGACCGGTCGGTCTAAGAAGCCAGCAGAACCCAAAGGTCAGCACACAGAAACAGAAAGAAAGCAACTTTTAAAAGTAGAGAACAACATCCAGAGTCGTGTTTGTTATGTCAATGTTGGGAAAGTTCGTTTAAAAAAACGAACTAGCTCAAAATTCAGTTCATACATTTTAAAACAAACTAATTTGTTTCTTAGTTCATAATTAAAACAGTTTTTAACTAAGTTCATTGTTTCAAAAACGAACTAGTTCATAGTTCTTTTTTCTCCTGTGTGTGTGTGTGCATGCATGCGTGAGTGCGTGCGTGCGTGTGCGTGTGTGTGTGCGTGTGTGTGCGTGCATGCATGCGTGCGTGCGTGCGTGTGCGTGTGCGTGTGTGTGTGTGTGTGTGTGTGTGTGTGTGTGTGTGTGTGTGTGTGTGTGTGTGTGTGTACTCAGCTGCAGTTTTTACCCTACAGTATATTCTCAATAACATGAGGAAAACATTATTTTAATGGGAAATTATTAAACTGTCTTAGGAGGCAGGCTGAGGTAGCAAACTCAAAGTGTAATATTTAAAGTACAAAACATTAAAAAAATGTATAATGTTTCAGTCCCGTTTCAATTTTTCTGAATGACTCCTGCACACAGCATAGACATAGAGTAGTAGACGCCACACCAACCGCTACGGCCTATGTTGGGCCGCATTTGTGGGTTCTACTTTTTATAAACTCTATGGTTAACAGGATGTTTTAGCTAGGATTTAGCTCCGGAAAAGCTCCGTGGAGATCTGGAGCTAGAACGGCGAAAGAACGCGTTCATAAACCCGTTCACGCACGCCAGGACGAACGCACTTTTACGTTCATCAGACAAAATACGAACGAGTTCAGTTCACGTTCACGGAAAAAACGAACAAATTCACGAACAATCGTTTAATGAACGCATTCGATCACAACACTGGTTATTGTTTCATAGACGCAGTCATAGGGTGACTTATTTTTACAGGAAGAAAAACTGCCCTGTATTCTGTTACCAATAAATAGTGATGAATTATCTGTGGACGTGCACTAATGTGCACATGCATGGAGGACAGTTGGTGCTAGAGGGACCGATGGTCAGCCGTCACTGCTGTAAACGGTTGCTTTTACCGGGGAAGTGTTGGTGCATCCTGCTCCCTCATCAGTAAAAACACAGATCACTGAGACTGCTGTAGGGCTGCAACAAACGATTATTTGGATAATCGATGAATCGGATGGGGTCTCGACACGATTAATCGATTAATCTGATTACATGGGGAAATTTTTTAAAACTGCTAGGCAAACGTTATTTCTCTCCTTCCTTCACTTTATTTAACACAACATTATTAGAAAACAGTTCAATAGCAGAAAACCAACATGCCATCACCTAAATTGTCTTATAAGGTGTATATCTGTGACCTAAAATGCTTGGTCCAATTAAACAGCTTAAGGGCAATTCTCATCTGTTTTGTTTAATCTCATCTGTAGACATTTATTATAACTGGGGATGTCAAACAACTAATTTTTAAATGTAATTAAACATAGGCTGTGAATTAATCAAAATTGATCACTATTTCCAAAAATGACGCAAGTTTAGAAAAGAAGCAGATGAGACAGCATGTCTGATAATTTAGTTTTTCATCTGATAATATTAGAACATGTCAGTAATGCCTGAGGGGCTTTTATAAACACTGTATAACTAACACTACTGGAGAGGGTATGAATTACACAGAGGCTTCTGGGGAGTCCAGTTATGGGGGGGCATTTTGCCTTGGCCCCCAAAATGACTTGAAACGGCCCTGGGTGTGTGACTGAGTGTTGAAGGTGACCTGAATAGTATCAAATTTATACATATTAAATGTGTGTAACTTATTGTTTTATACAGGTAAAAACGTGTAGTGGAGGTAAATCTACCTACATTTTACTTTTCAACACTTTGTTTTGTTTTGTTTTTATTTAACTATTTTCCTGTCCTGTCTGTCTCTCATCTTCCTGCATCTCCTCTTAATTCTCCAGAAAATCTGTTGTCTGGATTCTTACTTTTTCACCTCATCAGTTACTTCTGAGCAGATCAAAGGGATCTCCTGACCGCAAAGCGCAGAGCGCGTTTTCGATGCTGCGTGAGGTGAAATCACCGCAGCACAGGTGATGAGCTCCGCAGTAGCAGAGCGCTGCAGGCACAAATAAGACAGAAAATAGATAACATGTGCAGACATGAACGATCGTGTGCTAATTATAGTTTTTTGGTTGCGCCACTTTGAGAATGGACCGTGCGCTGGAAGCAGCTGCCTGGATCGCTGCGCAAAAATGCGCTGTGCCGCTCTCTGCTCAAAAGAGTCCAAAAATGATATCGTCGTCGTCGTCGTCTTCCTCCGCTTATCCGGGTCCGGGTCGCGGGGGCAGCATCCCAACTAGGGAGCTCCAGGCCGTCCTCTCCCCGGCCTTGTCCACCAGCTCCTCCGGCAGGACCCCAAGGCGCTCCCGGACCAGATTGGAGATGTAACCTCTCCAACGTGTCCTGGGTCGACCCGGGGGCCTTCTGCCGGCAGGACATGCCCGAAACACCTCCCCGGGGAGGCGTCCAGGAGGCATCCTGACCAGATGCCCAAACCACCTCAACTGGCTCCTTTCGATCCGGAGGAGCAGCGGTTCTACTCCGAGTCCCTCCCGAATGTCCGAGCTCCTCACCCTATCTCTAAGGCTGAGCCCGGCCACCCTACGGAGGAAACTCATTTCGGCCGCTTGTATCCGCGATCTCGTTCTTTCGGTCATTACCCAAAGCTCATGACCATAGGTGAGGATTGGGACGTAGATCGACCGGTAAATCGAGAGCCTGGCTTTCTGGCTCAGCTCCCTCTTCCCCACGACAGATCGGCTCAGCGTCCGCATCACTGCAGACGCCGAACCAATCCGCCTGTCGATCTCCCGATCCCTCCTACCCTCACTCGTGAACAAGACCCCGAGATACTTAAACTCCTCCACTTGAGGTAGGACCTCTCCCCCGACCCGGAGGTGGCAAGCCACCCTTTTCCGGTCGAGAACCATGGTCTCAGATTTGGAGGTGCTGATCCTCATCCCAGCCGCTTCACATTCGGCCGCGAACCTACCCAGCAAGAGCTGAAGGTCAGAGCTGGATGAAGCTAGGAGGACCACATCATCCGCAAAAAGCAGAGACGAGATTCTCCTGCCACCAAACTCGACACACTCCACACCACGCTGCGTCTAGAAATTCTGTCCATAAAAGTGATGAACAGAACCGGTGACAAAGGGCAGCCCTGGCGGAGTCCAACCCTCACTGGGAACAGGTCCGACTTATTACCTGCTATGCGGACCAAACTCACGCTCCTCTGGTAAAGGGACTGAATGGCCCTTAACAGAAAGCCACCCACCCCATACTCCTGGAGCGTCCCCCACAGGGTGCCCCTGGGGACACGGTCATAAGCCTTCTCCAAATCCACAAAGCACATGTGGATTGGTTGGGCAAACTCCCATGCCCCCTCCATCACCCTTGCAAGGGTATAGAGCTGGTCCACAGTTCCACGGCCAGGACGAAAACCACATTGCTCCTCCTCTATCTGATATTCAACTATCGATCGGACACTCCTCTCCAGTACCTTGGAGTAGACCTTTCCAGGGAGGCTGAGGAGTGGGATCCCCCTATAGTTGGAACACACCCTCAGGTCACCCTTCTTAAAGATGGGGACCACCACCCCGGTCTGCCACTCCCTAGGAACTGCCCCCGATGACCACGCAATGTTGTAGAGACGTGTCAACCATGACAGCCCTACAACATCCATAGCCTTGAGATACCCAGGACAAACCTCATCCGCCCCCGGGGCTCCGCCGCTGTGTAGTTGTTCGACTACCTCAGCAACTTCTGCCCCCGAGATCGGACAGTCCATCCCCAGGCCTCCCAGCTCTGGTTCCTCCTCGGAATGCGCATTGGTGGGATTGAGGAGCTCCTCAAAGTATTCCTTCCACCGTCCGACTATAGCCTCAGTTGACGTCAGCAGCTCCCCATCCCCACTGTAAACAGTGTGAGCGAGTTGCTGCCTTCCTCTCCTGAGGCGCCGGACAGTTTGCCAGAACCTCTTTGGAGCCGATCAATAGTCTTTCTCCATGGCCTCACCAAACTCCTCCCACGCCCGAGATTTTGCCTCGGCAACTGCCACTGCTGCACCCCGCTTGGCTATCCGGTACCTGTCTGCTGCCTCCGGAGACCCACTGACCAGCCACGCCCTGTAGGCCTCCTTCTTCAGCTTGACGGCTCCCCGAACCTCTGGTGTCCACCAGCGGGTACGGGGGTTGCCACCACGACTGGCACCGGCCACCTTACGACCACAGCTAGCAACAGCCGCCTCGACAATCGCAGAGTGGAACAAGGCCCACTCGGACTCAATGTCCCCCACTGCTCTCGGGACGTGGTCAAAGCTCTGCCGGAGGTGGGAGTTGAAGACCGTCTTGACAGGTTCTTCTGCCAGGCGTTCCCAGCAGACCCTCACTATGCGTTTGGGTCTGCCAGGTCTACGCGGCATGTTCCCTTGCCATCTGATCCAACTCACCCCCAGGTGGTGATCAGTTGACAGCTCCGCCCCTCTCTTCACTCGGGTGTCCAAAACATACGGCCGCAGTTCAGATGATACGACTACAAAATCTATCATCGACCTGTGACCTAGGCTGCCCTGGTACCAAGTGTACCGGTGGGCATCCTTATGTTCGAAATGGTGTTCGTTATGGCCAAACTGCGGCTTGCACAGAAGTCCAATAACAAAACACCGCTCGAGTTCAGATTAGGTGGGCCGTTCCTCCCAATCACACCCCTCCAGGTCAAGCTGTCATTGCCCACGTGAGCATTGAAGTCCCCCAGCAGGACAATGGAGTCCCCTGATGGAGCACTATCTAGCACTCGTCCCAGGGACTCCAAAAAGGGTGGGTACTCTGAACTGATATTTGGCCCATAAGCACAAACAACAGTCAGGACCCGTTCCCTGACCCGAAGGCGCAAGGAAGCTACCCTCTTGTCCCCCGGGGTAAACCCCAACACACAGGCAGAGAGTCTCGGGGCTAACAAAAAGCCAACCCCAGCCCTCCGCCTCTCACCCGGAGCAACTCCAGCAAAGTAGAGTGTCCAACCCCTCTCCAGGTCTCGGGTTCCAGAGCCAATGCAATGTGTCGAGGTGAGTCTGACTATATCTAGCCGGTACCGCTCAACCTCTGCCACAAGCTCCGGCTCCTTCCCCGCCAGCGAGGTGACGTTCCATGTCCCAAAAACTAGTTTTCTTGTCCGGGGATTGGACCGCCAAGGCTCCCGCCTTGGTCTGCCACCCGATTTGCATTGCACCGGACCCTTCATGTTCCTCCTGCGGGTGGTGGGTCCACAGTTGGACGAGCCCATGTATCCGATTTGGGCTGGGCCCGGCCGGGCCCCATGGGCGAAAGCCCGGCCACCAGGCGCTCGCTCACGGGCCCCAACCCCAGGCCTGGCTCCAGGGTGGGACCCCGGTAACCCTCTGGGCCGGGTACTCCGACTCTTCGTTTTAACCGCCATGAAAGATCCTTCGAAAAATGATATAATATAGAAAACTTTTTCCGGTTCACCTGGATGTGTAGGATATACAGCTCCCCCATAATTCGATCCCTGCTCCTGGATAAAAAGCCGGACATTTAAATCAATACAAGAACCCGCAGTCCGGACGCGCCGGACAGAGAGTGAAAAGTGGACACGTCCGGGGAAAACGGCACGTACGGTCACCATAGTCCTCATAAAGCGGGAAATTATAGATACAGTAATTTGCTCGTGCCCTGGGCCCTTTAGAGTTCGTGGGCCCTGGGCAATTGCCCAGTTAATCCGGCCTTGGAACCGGTTCGCAGCAGCGCGAGTCCCCCCGCTCATCTAATAAGCGTCGCGCTCTCGACTTTAGACTCTTTTTTTTACGAGCTTAGGGCATGTCTAGCCTGTGTAATAATCCGGGACTTGGATGAATCACTTTTGAAAAGTTTTTAATTTACCCGGACACAGAGTTCTCTCCTTCCTTGCTGATGATCCTGACATGCTTGCGTTTAAGACGCTGCATCATCCCGTGCCATGCCAAGTCTGACCTAAACGTTGCAGGTAACGCATGTCTTCGCCTGATTTAACTGAAAATGCTCCCAAACTTAAAAAGCTTTTACTTTTTTGACTCTCGCTGCTTCTGCCATGTTCCTTTTCCAAACAACTGCCGGCTCTCCCTCGCGCTGATCTGTCTGCGCGCAACGGCGGGCGGGAAGGGGGGGCGCTTTTGGAAGAGTTGTGCGACACAACGAATCGATGACGCAATTCGTTGCCAACGGCAACGCTTTTAGTAATCGATTTTCATCGAATTTATCGATTCGTTGTTGCAGCCCTAAAGTGAACCTTAACACTATGTCTGGAATTACCTGAGTGATACAATACTTTTATTGATAGAACCTAACCTTAAGTCTTTATTAGAATTAAGACATCTAATAAAGACCATCCATCCATCCATCCATTTTCATCCGCTTGTCAGGTCACGGGGGCAGCAGCCCAAGTCGAGAGGCCCAGACATCCCTCTCCCCAGCGACTTGTGCCAGCTCTTCCAGGGCAGGGTATATACAGCAATCCTTAAGTAAAATTTACTACTTTTTAATACTTTTGCTGACCCTCAAATCTGTCTCTAAATGTAAAACGTTCACGTTCAGTAAAAGTGGGAACAATGTACACACACATTCATTCATCACCATGAAGGATTCTGTTGTAGACGTGTGTAGGAAGTAGGTCACACAAACATGTCGTCACTGCTGCCCCAGGTGAAGATTTAAGACCCAACTGTGGTCAGATAAATAGGTGTGTTTAGGTTAACTTGGGTCACTCTTCTGCACCAAATCAGACTTAATATATAATCTTAAGTTATAAAGAACTCCAGTGCTAAACTGCAGGCCACTTCATATTAATTATGCAACATCACAAAGCAGTCCCTGGTGTGACAGGTTATGGACAGGTTCAGCCTTAGAGACGAGGTAAGGACCCTTCAGAGTAGAGCTGCAGCTCCTACTCACAGAACGGGAGTCAGCTGAGGTTGTTCAGGGAACTGCAGATGTTGCTTCCTGGTCACTTCCATCTGGAGGTCTTCAGGTCCTCCACACCATCCTGCTTCATAGGCTTGAGTCTGACGTGAAGGCGGGCCCAGAGCATGTTACATGTTACCTGGCCTAAGCACACCTAGAGGTTAATAGGTAGCTAATGCATTTAGCTTATTAACTCTGACTGTGTGTTGAGCTTTTGTGGAGACTGTGATAACTCTGAGTTTTATTGTCATCTCTGATGATTTAGGCTATGCTGGATGTGGCTGCCAATGAGGGGTGGCTAGTTACAGCCATCAGTATCTGCAACCTGGTTCAAATGATCGTCCAGGGCCGCTGGATGCACGACTCTTCACTACTGACACTCCCACATGTAGAACAGCACCACCTCCACCTGTTCAGGTAAACAACCCTCTGCTCCAGATCTACGTGTACGTGTGTGCGTGTGTGTGTGTGTGTGTGTGTGTGTGTGTGTGTGTGTGTGTGTGTGTGTGCGTGCGTGCGTGCGTGCGTGTGTGCGTGCGTGCGTGCGTGTGTGCGTGTAGGTTTTATTGAAATTTTCTTTAAGTTTTCATTCTAAGAGCAACAGCTGATTAGTTTTTGAACTCATTCCAGCTCAAGATGGCTGCCACAGCTAAGTAGTCCTTAGCCAATTCAAAAATGCCCCCAACTCAGTGGGTGTTACGAATATGAAGTCATAATACGGGGATAATGTGGTTGGAGGGGCTTAGGTTGGACCAAGAGGAAGATGCAGTGCAAGAGGAGGTAAAGCTGATTGGTGGGAGAGGAGAGGGTTAGATGGTTAGCTGTGGAGACCCCTATAGAGATATACTAGCAGAAGAAGAGGAGCAACGTCTCACATCCACTATTCAGTTATCACTACAGTAGTTCCAGTTTTCAGTGTTACTGAGCATGTGTGTACCACCTGGGTTTGTTCAGCTCCATGTGTTGTCTCTCTCATCTCCTCCTGATCGTTTCTTAGGAAATGGGCAAATCAGAAAACTCTGAGAGATTCCGGCAGTTTCAGTGGGCCAATCGAAGGACTTCCTGAGCTACTAGCAGTCTGTGGTGGGAAAGAAAGTGTGTTCACTGCTATGGTCCGCCCCGAGTTCCATCCCAGTCAAATTGTCCAGGTACGATTTCAGAGAAGCAGAATATCAGTTCAGTTGGAACACACACACACACACACACACACACACACGCAAATGTTTCAGTGGTCCCTGGTGTCTCCATCAGTCCCAGTTGTGACTGGGACTGTGGCTCTACAGGCAGGTTTTCAGCTCCAGTTTAAGTGTTAATTGCTGCAGTAATGAGTGCCCAGGCCCAGTTACAGGCCCTGTGACTTCAACCAATCATCCCTTCCCCACTCATGCAGCCCTCCCACCCCCCACAGTACAGCAGGCTCTTTAACTAAATCATTAGATGTGCAGCAGCGTTCCTGCCTTACTTGCTCTGGGAGAGTAATCCTCACATAAATAGCTTTTGCTGGGTGAGTCCAAGAGGCTTTGCTCCTCCTGTCCCCTGGTATAAACACACACAAGCACACTTCTACTGTTTTTGTGCCGTTATCTTTTATATGATGTGCTCTGTTGTAGATGGGCTTTTGGGTTAAACCAAATGTTAAGTTCTTCATAAAACCCCTTAAGGAGAACCTCTGAGTAGAGGAGAACATATGTTGGACTGAATCATGCCTTAATCAGTCAGTTGGACTCAGAGTAGCTAACAGATTGGTCCTTCTGAAACAGACCTGAGTTTGTCATCACTCGATACATTACATGTTTAAACAGCTCCTTTTCAGAGGAAACAGCTGCTCCTGAGACGTGATGTTTTTCTGCTGACTTCTGGAGTCAGACCAGAAAAGAAAGATAGCTCTGCTGTATGTTGCACGCCGTCTGTAGCTACCTCAGTTGGGTTTCATCTTGAAGTGTTTTCTCTGAGACGTCCATCTGCTTCTGACCTATGATCATTGGAGGCTGGTGGAGATTAAACTGGGCCCTGACTACATTTACAGCCCATTGGCAGGATCACCAACCCTTGGATCTCCCCTACCCTTGGATGCACCTGCTCTCCTGCGATGGTGTCCAGGCTCGTCACACCGGAGACACCGGAACAGGTGTGGAGGACGGCTTGTGAAGATAAAAGATTGGCTGTATTGTCAGTGGAGGGGTGCAGCGGCTTTTCCTAGTCCTAGTCCTCGTCCCGTCGCTCCGTAGAGTTTACTGGATCAGCACATTTCTAATTTGGTCCTGATGATTGAACGTGATCTTGAGCTTGCTGGCTGCGGGACCCTCCGCCACCTCGTATTTGTAGGAGAGAAGTGAATCGGGAGAGTGTGTGAGGGATGGTGTGTGCTTTGACAGCATTTCAGTCCTCTGGAGGCAGCAATGCCGGTTTGCTGGCTGTGCCACTTGTTAGCGGTGAATGCAGATTAGTGTTTAACAAAGCTTTAGTTCTGAAGGATTTTTTGAATCCCTGGACCTGTGCTTCCTGAGAGTAACAGAGTCCTGGGTCCAGTGTGCAAGCCTAGGCAAGGCAAGACAGCTTTATTTATAAAGCACATTTCATACACACAAGCAATGCAATGTGCTTTCCAGGTGCAAAAACATTCAACCTTAAAATCAACGTGACGGCATAAAACAGCAGATTTAATTAAAAGAAATAAATTAAAAAGACAAAGTTAAAGACTGGGCAGTCACAGTGCAGAAGGTGCAGCATAAGAAGCATTCATTCATAGGCTAATGAATGCGTGAAAGTTGTGATTTAGAAGTTATTAGAGTTGGAGCACATTTGAGGTCATAAGGAAGCTGATTCATCTGTGTGCAGCATGGTAGCTAAAAGCTGCTTCACCCTGTTTGGTTCTGACCCGGGTTCTACCAGCTGACTGTTTCCTGAGGATCTCAGAGCCCTGCCGGGTGTATGTACAGGAAGGAGATCTGACATGTATTTTTGCCCCATGCAAGTGAGTGATTTATAAACTACTAGAAGTACTTTGAAGTCAGTTCTGTGGTTTACTGGTTACCAGTGTAGGGATTTAAGAATAGGAGTGATGTGCTCTGTTCTCTTGGTTCTTGTTAAGACTCTAGCAGCAGCATTCTGAATAAGCTGCAGCTTTTTAGGAAGACCAGACAAAATACCATTGCAATAGTCCAGCCTGCTGGAGATGAACACATGAATGAGTTTCTCTAGGTCTCGTATGGACATGAGGCCTCTGAGTCTTGCTATTTGATGAAGATGATAAAACACCGATCTAGCTATAGCCTTAAACTGACCAGTGAAACTCAGGTCTAAATCAATTATGACACCAAGATTTCTAACCTGGGTCTTTGTCTTTATTCCTCTGGAGCCAATATAATCAATAACCTCCATCCTGTCCTTATTTTTAAAGACAATAACTTCAGTCTTGTCTTTGTTTAACTGGAAGAAGTTTGACTGCATCCAATCATTACCTTATTCCAAACACTGATGGAGTGAGTTCAGGGAACCACAATCACCAGGTGATAGAGCTAGATTTATCCGGGAGTCATCTGCATAGCTATGATAGGCAGTGTTGTTGTTGTGTATGACCTGGCTCAGGGGGAGCATGTAGAGATTGAAGAACAGTGAATTGAGTCTTGTGGGACCCCACATGTCAATGGGATCTGCTTTGATCTGTGGTCACCAATAGAGACAACATAAACCCTGTCTTCATGACAAGATTGGAACCAACGATGGACTGTACCTGGTAGTACCCCCCAGTGTGTGAGCCTATCAATAAGGATGGTGTAGTCCACAGTATCAAAAGCTGCACTCACATTGAGCATCATCAGAACAGATGTTTTGCTTGAATCCGTCTTTAGACGAATATAATTTGATACATTAATCAGTGCAGTCTCCGTGCTGTGGTATAGTAAAAGCATATCTATAATAAAAATCCTAAAAATAACAGTAGAACAGGCACAAATATGATGTAAGACTTAAAATTACTAACTTTTAACACCAGATCAGGATGAGAAATTAATGATCTGACACCTGAGCGGTGAACGGGTGAGTGGACGTTCCTCACATGGGAAGTCCTGCTGTCATGTCAAGAAGGTGATGGCTGCAGACCCGCAGATAATGTCTGCAGCAGCGAATCTGGTGTGATTTCCGGCCTAATCACAACTTTCTCCTTCCTCGCTGCCCCTGCTTTAATATCTGCCGCTTTAGCTCCCGATCAGCTGATGACCGTTAACGCATGCAATGTTTAGATGGTCACTATTCTCAGAAAAATATAATAAACCAACAGAATTGTCTAGAAAATAATCAGAGAGATGTTAGAGTGTTTCTGTTACTTTACGACATGTTGTTTGTGGCTGTTTACAGAGTAGTGAGGACTTGAAGCATTTTCCCTGCTGTTCGTCTGACTACTTTCATAAACTACCGCTAAGAGCAAAACGTCGTTCTGTCTGGTGCTTTCAGCGCTGCACAAATGTTGCATAAATGTTAAAAATGTAGCTTACCTTTACTTTTGTTAAGTTTTCTGTGCCACCCGACCCGGCAGCAGTCCAGCAGAGATCAGAGGCAGCAGGTAGATGAGTTTCAGGTCTTAGCTATGTGCTCTAGTGTTTTAGCCATAATCTCACTGAAAACTGGCATTCTAGCCAGTGTGTTGCTGTGTGGCTGTAGTAGTGGTCTGGGCCCACATCCCCAACAACATCTGAGACATCCACATCTTCGGTTAAGGTTAAATCTGGTGTGTGACCTTGAGTGTGTATTGGTCCATACATGTTGTAGCAAATAGTTCAAGCACTCTAAAGAATTTTTCTGCAGATTTGTCATCAGCAGCATCAATATTAATACTAAAGTCACCAGTTGTGACAAGATGTTTAAAGTCTGCTGTGATAACAGAGATAAGCTACATGACCCTGGAGGCCTGTAAACTACCAACACTTGGGTGTGCCTTTCAACTCGAAACAAAGATACTCAAGAGTCATAATCACCACCACCTCTCCTGTCGATCTCATCCAACCATATTTAGAAGAGATGTAAATTTGGTGGTGTTGATATGAGAACTGGTGCACTGCTGCTAGCATTTAACCAGATTTCTGATAAAAGCACAAAATCAAGATCATGAGCACAGATGAGATAATTTACTGAAAGTGATTTATTGATGAGAGATTAAACATTTAAACTTTGTGGAAGTGGAAGTGGAACACTGCTGAATGGGCCTGACAAGGAACTGTTCTAAGGTTTCTTGGATTATGTGAGTGAACAGGCACTCTCCTTCTTTTGAGTATTATCACATGGAATCGATGCCTGGTGGTCGTGTATATTTGAATGTTCCAAGGACATCAGGTCATCGACGGGGCCTGGTGGCTGTTCTTAAGTCTAGTTTTAATTCCAGCAGCACATCCTTTCCAAGCTGTTTTAGAGCTTTTAACTTTGCCTGTTTGAACTGGGCTTTTCTTCTTGGCTCCTTGTGATTGGATATATCGCCCCCCCAAGATACAATGTTGACTTCTTCTTCTGTTTGTGGGGGAGATGATGCAGAGATATGAGCATGTTTTTATTCTTGGAGACTTTAATATTCATGTCTGCTGCTCAAATAAGCTCCTAGTGAGAGATTTTTAAACATGGTGGACTCTTAAGTTGTGTCCCATCATTGGTCACACACAGGAATGTGGACATTTGGGTTATCTGTTTCTGATCATGTGTCGGTTATTTTTTTACTTTACTCCTCTCTGTGACAACTGCTACCATGGCTTGTGAGTTTTCACTTCTTTGCTCAGCACTCTGTGCCTCCCAGCTCTGAGGAACTCTTTAGTCCTATCCTGGATGTGGTTGTCCCATCAGACCTATGAAGCCATGGCTCAGGTTGGAGCCTTGGATCTCTGAGGATTTTCTCCCCTCTCAGGAGGATTCTTGGAAAGCATAACGTTGAATTTCACTTTAAGGCTGACTATTTCCAGATTTGCATCTGGAGACAGTAATTCACTCCTTCATTACCTCTGGTATGAATTATTGCTTCAGGGCTTAGCCAGGCCTCTGTTGCAGATGGTCCCAAACTCTGCGGCTCGGCTGTTGACTGGGACAAGGAGGACGGACCACATCACTCTGGTGCTGGCTTGTAGTTGGATTCAAGGTGGAGTTTAAAGCAACTGAACTTAATTCACGACATTGTGTAGGAATTTGTTGCTTCCCAGTTCCCAGGGCTTCCCCAGGACAAGGACCATGGTGACTCCTGACCTGGTGGTCATAAACTTATGGCTGTGTTCCTCTTTTACCAGATCTGGTCTTTCCTGACTCACCTGCCAGTGTTGGAGGTGCAGATGAGCCTGAAGGGCTGGTGGGAGCATAGCCAGGAGCAGACGGAGCGTCCTCTTCCTGCAGCAGGAGATCACCTGAGAGGGGACAGCAGCTGGTTGGATGTCCACGCTGACCAGGAGTATGTGCTGCATGTGTCTCTACGACGCCTCAGCCAGCATAAGGTCAGTATGCCCAGTACACACTCGCCTCCAGCGATGGTGAAAACTCAACTGAGGTGCGGGGTGAAGCCCTTATAGACATGTCTTTAGAGTCTCTTCTCGTCTAACAAGTGTGTGTGAAGTAAACGTTAGGTGTAGAACCCAGCTTCAGCGTGTGACTGAAGTGTGTGTGATATTCCAGAGGAAACAGGACAGTAAGGCCCAGGCTCCCAGGTTCCCCAAAGTAAAGGATGAGGGCTGGTTCCTTGTCTTGGGGGAGGTGGATCGGAAGGAGCTGCTCGCTGTGAAGCGTGTTGGATTTGTCCGTAGTCACACATCAGTGTCCGTGGCCTTCTACACACCTGAGAAGATTGGAAGGTAAGCAGCTGGACAGAAAACACAGCTTTGTGACAGATATGTGATTATAAGTTTTCATAAAGAGGACGTGCTTGCATTTCACCATGACTGTTGTGGCCCGGTGCACAGCTGTGACTCTGACCCACATGAGCTCAGGTGGTTCTGCAGCAATGCTGTGATTTTCCTGAACTCGTCTCACTAATGAGTCTTGTGCTTGCAGGTGCATCTACACCTTGTACGTGATGAGTGACAGCTACCTGGGTCTGGACCAGCAGTATGACATCTACCTGAATGTAACAGCTGCCAGCATCGCAGCGCAGGTCAACACGGAGATGGTGGACTCCGTGACAGAGCTGTCCTTCAACTAAACCCAGTCAACAAGAGCCTCTGAAGCTCCTGACTCTGTTCTGGCTCAGACGTACCTTTCGGACTGGACCTGCTGTCTGTCTGCCAGCTCCTAAGGAAACTCTTCCATGTTCCTTTTTCACAGCTTTCTGAGATACAGCCTGCAATGTTTGGGTTCCTTCCATCCTTTTTTCTGAAAGCAGGAATTAGTCCATCTGAGTCTTTTTGTGTGAAGTGGTCCACCTCATTAGAACACAAATAAAAGTGCTGAGTCATGTTAAAGCTAGTGCTTAAAGGGGCCTGTTGTCTCTCTGTTTCTGTGTTTTAGAGATGAACAATAAGAGCTGCTGCTCAGATGCAGCCATCATCATTTATCCAATCAGAAGCCAGAACCAGCGCTTTGGTAACTCCTACCATTGAAGTTAAATGACCTATAGGCTCATGATCGTTTAAACAGGAGAAACCCAGGTACAGTGCAGGCAGCAGGAGGTGGCTACATAAGCTGAAGGAAAGACTTGGTTGTGATTCTTCAGCTTGTGTCTAAACAGGTTCAGGACCAGAACAGACCTGTGGGTCAGAGTTCTGAAGAAACCTGATGTCTTCATTGTTCTGCATCCCTTCCAGTACGTTTAAGGTTAGCCATTTATATCACAGCAGAACAACAGATATGTCAGTGACAGACAACAGCTTTGTTGACCCTTGAAAGTGCCTCTTCAGTGACTCAGCTGTTCCACTCAGCTTGGATCAGTCCTGACTGTCTGATTATTCTGAGTTCCAGAAGAGCTACACCTTCACACCAGAGGGAGGTTGTGAAAGGGGTCTTCATCCATGGGTGGAGGCAGGAAGACGATGTTAAACAGAGTTTCTTAACTTTCATTTTGTTCAATAAAACTTGACTCTGTGTGAATTTTCTGTAAAACTCATCCATCTGTTGTTGTTCACACGGTAGTCACCATCTTGAGCTTTACTGGGCCTGAACTTCTCCCACAATAAAACAAACCACAGTCCTCACACGGTCTCCATCAAAAGTTTAAGACCACTGCAATAATGGCCAAAAGTCATATTTTGTATGGTTGGAGTTTAGCAAGGTTCCAAGTTGAGCTTCAACATGCCAAAAGAAGAAATTCATTTCAAACACTTGGAGGAGCCAGATCATGTCACATTAAACCTTTGAGGGCCAAGGTAGGCACAATGTGATCAAACATTACCGCTGACACCAGTAGCGGTTTTTGATATGTGCGACTTGGGCGGCATCATGAGGGGGGGGGGGGGGGGGGGGGGGGGGGGCTAAATGGGTAATGAAAACAGAAAAAAAAACTCAGGTGCGCGGTGCCCCAACATAATGCAGGTGTGTGCATCTTTTGGAATTAGGCACTGATCAGTTCTCCATCATCCACTTGCCGGTCAGAGAGCAGCCAGGTGCGTTTGTTCTGCTGCAGAGGGAGGAGGGCGGGTCTGCTGAAGCGGCTGGAAATGAAGCAGCATCTAACAAAAAACGGCCATGATAATATATAAAATAGATACTCATAAGTTGCACAGATGCATTTTCTAAATCCTAAATTACATTTTTAATAGCTGTCTGCACCCTCTTTGTGCAGCTCCTTGCATACTCCAGTCAATCCCAGCTCATAGTGCTAAACACATTTATTAAAGTGTGTGGTGGAAGTTTTACTGCAGCAAACTAACCCAGTTTGAAGGAAAAATAAAGGTAAAAGTCCTCAGGAAAAAAGAACACATAAACAAGCAGATGTGTCCTAGCAATGGCCGCTATGACGTCTTTAACTCCTCCTGAAACTATAATGGAAGAAAATGTCTTGTTACATTTGTTTCTTGCCATGTGGCTGACAGATTAGACACTTGTTTATTCTATGGATCTTTTTAAGCATAAATGAATTGGCTCTTAACTGAATGAAGTCTATTGTTGATTTGTCTCTCATATATGACCAATCAGAATGGTTGGCTGTTTGCATATAACTAGTAGTCAGTTGTCTAGTTAACTTAGCAGTAATCACTCCTCCTGTTGGTTACCCAGTGACTAGAAAGTAATTTTACTACTCAGTTTAGAAGCATTTTATTAAGATCTGAAGCAATATTAGTAAACACGTCCTTTTAAACACATGACTAAGTAGGCCTGCTGTAATAAAAGACCTGTAGTTTAAAATGTTTACCTATAAACTGTCTTGATAAATCACATTTCATTAAAACTGTTTTCTTTTTTACAAATGTTTTAATCTGCTTGTTCAAAGAAATGAGGAATTACTTATTTTTAATCTAATCCTCTGGTATATCTGGTTACCACTACTCATGTGCATTTAACCATTTTTTGGTTTTTTTTTTAGTAATGCCATCTAACTACTCTACCACCTCTGCTAGGTAATAGAGTGTGTTTGCCCAGGGCACCAAATGGGCTAGAGTCGCCCCTGGTTGTCATTAATGAGAAATAATTTTATGATATATGAGTTGTTGTTTGGTTTTTTTTTTTTTTTTTTTTTGGGAGGGGAGGGGGGGTGTCAGTCTGAATTTATACCTGGAAGTGAAACAGTTTTTTTCAGTGAGGCTCCGCCCACGCCTGCAGTGGTGCCCCCAAGGGTCAGGGCCACCCCTAGAAAATTGCTGGTGCACCAGAGGGGACCAAGTTCTTTAATTAATCATATAAATGTTCAGTCAAACTATAAATTAGTATTTGATCAAACATAAATGTGAAACTCAATAAAAATAATATTAAAGAGTAAATAATCAGATATAAAAGTATTCTTGTTTCTCCTGCTCACCATTTTCACATCAAAAGTTTAAATCTCTAGTTTTTGTGAAGGCAGCAGTGAAAGTGTTGTAAAAATTCTATAATAAATTCTAAAATAACATTCCATTAAACTGTTTGAAATATCTTTTTTCTGAAAAAATAGTGTTCTTCTAAGTTCAGGTAGCGATGCGTTTTTTTTTTAATGAAAAAGAATAAAGGAGCGTGCAACGCACCGCCACAGGCTAGACTCTCCTAGAGTTACCACATGGATCAATCTGGTGTGTCATCCCCAAACTTTTCTCTGGCCACCCCTGGAAATTATCTGGGAGCACCACTGCTTAAACTTTTGAATGGGACTGTCTCAGTCTCTTAATCAAGTTTCTGGTCAAATGAAAGGAAAACAGCTTTTATAGAAGCCCAGGCAGCAGCACATCTAAAATATGAGAATAAAGTCATGATGGGTTGTTGTTGGAGAACTCATTTCTCCAGATGCTCATTCTTTAATCCATCTGTGACCCTTCAGTAATCTGTCTAACAGCTGGTTTCTGAGCAGGAGCTGGTTACTCCTACTTGTTAGGAGGAAGGCAGGCACCCTGTGATGGTAACACACACACACACACACAAACAACGATTGCGTAGGTAGAATCTGTCTTCTGACATTTTACTTGGTATATTTGTTCCAGAACAGGAGGAGGGTTAAGGAGTAAAATCCCACGATAAAACCCCCTCTTGCTAATTATGAGGTTGCTGGTTCAATACTAGCATCCCCACCTCTGTCACGTGTTCTTGGGCAGGTGAACACAACACACGCCTGGTGTGAGTAGGTCAGTGGGACTTGTCAAGTTTCAGTTTTTTTACACTCAGATTCAACTGAATGAATGTTCCATGTTGTAAAGTCCTTGAACTTCAAGCATTTAGAACAAAGTGAAACGATTTTATTTACGTTGTGAGACAAGCAGCTGAAACAGCCACTGCTCAGGTTTTGGGGGTACTGAGAAGCTTGAAAATAACCTTGAAAGTGCTTGGATTTGGTTTTGGATAAACGTTAACGTGTACACTAAGGTCAAACCATGACACGTTCGTCACGTTCGTCACTTTTTACAATAATTCTGAGTTTATGAAATGAGCGACTGAGAGAAAACACTTTTAATCCACTTAGATAATAAATATCAACAAGGTGTGTGTGTGCTCAGATATTTGATTGTGTTGTGTGTGCGCGCGCGTGCGTGCGTGAATGAAAAGTATTATATTAATATTGTTAACAGACTGAGATTGTTAGTAATAAAACGCTCACCTGGAGCGTTTATAATAATATCAAAAATAGAGTCTGACTTTAAGGTTGGGCAGAATTCCAGAGGAAGGAGAAGGATCCCAGAACTCTCCTGAACGTGTTGGATGAAACAACCCTCACGGAGCCGTTAGCAGTCACCTTGACTCCTCCGGTCTCTGCCTGCTCCGGGTCACCGAGGGTCAGCCAATGGGACCTCGCTGCGAGGGAATTCATCCAGTAGGAGCAGCCGGCTTCTCGGTGGGCGGGGCTTGGCGCGTGCAGCAGATGAAGCCCGACTGGGTAAACTCAGGCGTGATGAAGAAGAGTGGAGGCTGTTCTTTGGGGAGGTTCTGTGTGAAAACTGTCGGTTCCGTTTGTGTTCAGGTAGGAAACGGAATAAAGCGGGTTTGGGCCAGGTGGAATTATCTCACCAGGTTCTTGTTCTGGGACCACCCGTCTCTAACGGACCTCTTGTCTCACATGTAGGTCCAGATGCTGGTTCTGCTTTCTCCCTGATGTCCACTGGTTCTACAGCTGTCCGGATGGGTCCGCGTGGGAGCTGAGCGGCCCGTAGAAGTCATCAGAACCAGCCGGGTCCGCTGGAACATCTGGAGCCATGAAGAGGTGTGCGCGCGCCAGCAGCTGTGGATTGTAGGTCGAGCAGGAGGAGACTGTGCGCGCGCCTTCATGAGCAGGACTCCAGCCGGCAGCAGGACCTGGACCACAGACTGCAGGCCGACCCGGTTCGGAGAGGACCGGAACTCCCAGCATGAAGGAGAAGTCTAAGAACGCGGCCCGGACTCGGAGGGAAAAGGAGAACAGTGAGTTTTATGAGCTGGCCAAGCTGCTGCCGCTGCCCTCCGCCATCACCTCCCAGCTGGACAAGGCCTCCATCATCCGCCTCACCACCAGCTACCTGCGGATGAGAGGAGTGTTCCCTCAAGGTACGGAGCCGGTACCGAACACGTCCAGCTTCTAACCGGATAAACACCCATTATTCTGGAGGGATAGGAGCTGCAGCTCGTGTTTAATCATTTATTGTCCTTTTCCATCCGAGAGATTTATCTAATTATCTGAGACAAAGAACCCCCAAAACAGTGTTTATTTATGTTTATTTAGGCGATTATAAAGTAATTCAAAACCCAATCTATTTTATTTTATTTGAGTAAAGTCTAAATAAAATATATAGGCTGCTTTAACTCATTTGTGTTCATGTAAACAGCATAACGCTGCTATTCTGCATGTTTCAGTAAAATTGGTAGTTTAATTTTTATTAATAATGTTGTGTATTTATAATAAAATGTTAATTACTTTAGAAAATAAATAAACACGGTTCTGATTGTGTTTGGAGCTGGACCAGTCAGAAGGAGCGGTGCCGCTAAAGGCTCTCCGGCCCGGCCCGTGGTGCTGCTGGAGCTGATCCCGGACCGCTCCGCTGTTCGTCTCAGATCGTCCAAAAGACTCGTTTTACATTCTTTATTTTTATAAACCAGAGAAAATGTTTCTGAAAAAGGCCAAATTCTGATCAGACTCAACGAAACTCAAACGTTATGTTTGTTTTCATTGTAGAGATTTCTGTAAATTTTGCTTAATCTGACATGCAGGCCTATAGGTGGTCAGTGTGTGTGCGATTTACAATTCTGTCCGCCGAAAATCCTGAAGCTAGTTTTATTATTAATAATGATCGTATACGCTTCAGATCCCATTATTATTATTATTATTATTATTATTATTATTATTATTATTATTATTATTATTATTATTATTATCGCAATTCTTTTTTTATTTTATTGAATGAAAAGTAAAAACGGACTTATTGAAGCGGGCCAGTTAGTCTCTTAACGGGTGTTAATTATTTTAGAATAAATTAATTCTTTATTTGTTTATTTGTTCCGTTAATTATACTGTTTCTACACGGGCTGTTTTCACTAATTAAATTCTTTTGCCTTATTTAGTTGGGCAAGTCAACACATTGTGTGCGCTTTTCTTCTAATAGTCTTATGTCCGACTCTGATATTTTTTTAAATCAACACCAAGTCGGGCTAGAATAAACCCAGTCACTGGATGAGTAAAGGAAAACAAAAAAATAAGAGAGGGGTATAAATAAACAAAACAAATAAATTAATTAATACCTAGCACCAGGTTCAGAATCCTCAACATTAAATATGCTCGTGTGTTTACAGTATTAGGCTGAATGTGAAGGAGCTGTAGTTCACCTGCAGCTCCTCTGAGTTTATTCTAAACACAATCTTGTTCTATTTGTGTGTGTGTGTGTGTGTGTGTGTGTGTGTGTGTGTGTGTGTGTGTGTGTGTGTGTGTGTGTGTGTGTGTGTGTGTGTGTGTGTGTTTAAATCTTTCTGCACAGCATTTAAACTCATACTAGCATGTGTGTTTGTTTCATGTGGCCTTGTGCCGCCGCTGTGTGACACATAAATCTGAAGTTGAGTCGGCTCAGACGGATTTCTGTCTGGAGCAGAAAAAGAAATGTTTTCTTGTTTATGTCGACCAAGCAGGTCTGGGGGAGTCCTGGGGTCACGTGAGCCGCAGCTCTCTGGATGGAGTCGGCCAGGAGCTAGGCTCCCACCTCCTACAGGTTATTATTTTTATTTATTTATTTATTTACTTATTCTGTTTTGTTGTTGCGTTCATGCTGCTGCGGCTCTGGCTGATTTTAGAGACTCTCCAGCTACCATCTGCCCCTCCAGGCCTCCTTCTCCTTGCTTTCAGATTTAAATGAGTTGAGCTCATTCGTGGTCATGCACACGGCCCATGTCTCCTGCTGCCCCGCTCACATCAGCAGCATGTCTGCAGTTACAGAAGGAATCGGAGGTTTCCTTCACTCAGACATGTGCTGCTCATTCATAACATAGTGGAGGGTTCTGTTGAAGTCCCACACCCTAACCCCACCCAGCAGGGCTAAAACAACGATTGACGTGTTCAGCGTGGTCTCTTCAGACTGTTGTTTCACATTGACCATAAATGAAATCAGATTTCAGCTGATTTTTAGGAAAGTAAATGAAGTTAAAGGTGCAGCAGAGGATCTTTTTCTTCTGGGTGGATCATCGGAACCACTGGTTTGCATAACTGCCAGTCATTCTGGTGAAGCTTTCACGCAAGGCCTTCGTCGTGCGTGCTCGTTCCTGGGTTAGTTTTCACCCGTTTATGTGTGGCGCGAAACACTATCATTCCTCGCCGTTCTCACCGGGTTCTTTTAAAAATGGCTGAGAGTCGCGCGAGAAAAAGTGTCTTCGAAGTCCAAGATAAGAAGAGAAAGATCCCCAAAGGGAGAAATAAGACTAGAGTTTTTCGTTTTCAACTATGGGGTGCGCTGAAAGCGAAGGTCGCCGGTTTTTTGCTTCACGGGTAAGCTAAAGTTCAGCATGCTATTTGGAGAAATTTGTTCCAGATTTCTGCTACAGAAGAGCTGCAAGGCCGGCAGCTACTTTTTTTAATGCAGAGAGGGCGGTTCTATGGAACTAGGATTGGGACAATATTGTATTTAACGTGTACCATGTTTTGTAACGCATAACTTTCATTTTGTAACATGTCACAACATGAAACTTTTATTTTGTAACTTGCAAAAACAGTCAGTGTAGAAGTTTTAAATTACAACTTTCAAAACACAAATCTCAGTCTACAGTTACAAAACTCAAGTCAACAAATACAAAACATTTTGCCCCAATTCTGGCTTTCTTCCAACAGAAATTGTCTTTGACAGGAATCCAATACTCATGATTGGCTGGTCAGAAACAAGCATGCCATTGGTTCTTTAGGAAGCAATCTAGTATTGGGACAAAATATTTTGTACTTGTAAACTTGACTTTTGTAACTGTAAACTGAGACGTGTGTTTTGAGAGTTGTGATTTGAAACCTGTACATTGATTGGTTGTTGCAAGTTAGAAAACAAAAGTTACATGTTACAAAATGTGAATTACAAGTTACAAAATTAAAGTTACAGTTACAAAACATGTTACAGGTTACATGTAATTTTGTCCCAATCCTAGTTCCATACAGTTCTCTCCTGGAAGTCAGAAAGATCCTCCGTACCTTTAAACTATCTGCAAACCGTAGCCTACATTTTAATGATTTATATCGGAACGTGCTGACGAGACAGAGCTCCTGCTGGTTGAGGGAGCTGCAGGCTGATGTGTGGAACATGGTCACGACCAGCTGGCTCTCACGTTTAAATACAACATAGAAAACTTTTAAAGACACAGAAAGTTTGAGTCTAAATTTAACTTCTGGTTTAAACCAGGAAATGCAGCATAGAGCTGAACCTGATGAGAGAATATTGTATTTCTATTATTGAGTCAGTTAAATATTTATATTCTAAATACTTATATTCTAGAAGTATATTAATTAAACATGTTATATCGGTTTTATTTTATTTTGTTGAGTTTTGCTTTTCAAAATGTAAAATACATAAAGTTTGTTTTATTTTTCTGTAAAAGTAAAGCAGCAAAACGAGACGACGTCATGAGTCATTCAACGCCGAGCTGACGGAGCTAGAATTAGGACAAAATGTTTTGTATATGTAGACTGAGATTTGTGTTTTGAAAGTTTTAATTTGAAACTTGTACATTGTTAACCGTTTTTTTTTTTTTACTTGTTCTTTTTTGAATATGATCGGTCACTCTGAGATTAAATGCAGGCCAAACATGAAGATAGTCTCCTACACCTATCGCCTGCATTCGCTTCTGCTGGACAATAGACGGTGAAACTCTCAGATTTGGAATTCCTGACAGCTCTATGCCACACTGTCACTTAACATTCATGGACTCGCCCATCTTGGCACACGATGGGGAAGGCTGTTGTTGGTTTGGCTCCAGGAAACAGCAGAGAAGGTCTCAGCTAGTGGAAGCTAACTGTTAAGCCAGATTCATGCTTCTCCGTCTGCGTCAGCGCGGAGACACGCAATGTCCTAGCGGGCCTGCCGGAGAGCTCCGCAAGGATGGACGGAGTCCAGCTCTCTTTTCTAAACATCTGTCAGTTGAGACGGACAACGCAAGCTTGTGATTGGTCAGGACGCCGCTGTTGTCTACAGCGCCGCCATTGCGCCCTCAAAAACATAAAGAGAGCCGAGGATAACAAGCGGCAGACACGGACAAGCTTGAATAATACCTCGCGAAAAAACTCTAAAAACATGAACGTTTAATTCCCCGTGACTGGAGGAGTGAAAAGATACGCAGCAAGCGTTTTATTTGTGGACGGAAATGACAGGAAACGTGGGTTTAGAGGTGGCGAGCGCATGAAGGGGTGGAGGAGACTGAGAGACAAATATGTCCGTGTTAAAAGTCTCTTATACATGTACAAAAAAACATAATATAAACACACTATCTTGGACCGATACATGACAGGATACCACAGAACAGCGCTACGCCCTCTGTTGTCCTGCCGGGCAATTGCTTTGCAACACTCTCCAGGAGACGGAGAAGTGTGAGAGCAAAACGCTTCCGTCGATCCGTGCGTGTCTGTCCCTTGCAGAGCTGACGGAGAAGCATGAACCAGGCTTTAGCATCTCCACAACACGGCAGAACTCCTTCAAGTGTGTGATATTTATGCAGATACAACATCAACGATGCAGAGCAAAGGGAGTTGGTGGCAGAGTTGTGTTGCTGTTCTCCAGTCGAAGGAGAGATATCCAAATATCAGGAAATAAAACTGCAAATCAGAGATGGACTCATAAGGCATTCATTTATACCAGAGAACACTGTGAATGTGTTGAAATAACGAGTGAACTTGGTCTTAAACATAAAACATTATTATTATTTTCTACATGTTCTTATATTTATAATGCAGCCCCTTTCTGCTGGATGCCGTTAGTCTTTCTGCTCTGCAGAGATGTTGTTCTACACTCATTCTTCCCAAATAGACTTTTTATTAGATGTTAATATTTCTAGCCTGGACTATGACACCCTTCTCTTGTCATTGTTTCTTCAGACATTAGATGGCTTCGTCTTTGTGGTTGCTCCAGATGGGAAGATAATGTACATATCAGAAACAGCCTCAGTGCACTTGGGTCTGTCACAGGTTGGTTAGATGGGCCTACTGATTTGTTCTGTAGAGCTCTCAGCTTCCTGTTCTAAAGAGGATTTTCCCTCCAACAGGTGGAGCTGACAGGAAACAGCATCTATGAATACATTCATCCAGCTGACCACGATGAAATGACAGCAGTCCTCACAGCACATCAGCCTTACCATTCACACTTTGTACAAGGTAATCCGGCTCAGTGCTGGGCAGACCAGATGCCGTGGACTTACTAAGCATCATGAAGACGTGTTTACACGCTTTTATGTCTCTACAGAATTTGAGATGGAGCGCTCCTTTTTCCTGAGAATGAAATGTGTCCTCGCCAAAAGAAATGCTGGCCTCACATGTGGAGGCTACAAGGTAGTAGCTAGATCAATCTGCCAAGAATCCATCTGCAGGTCACTGAGTCAGACTTTGTGATGTGGTTCTGTGGTTCTGGCTGCCTCCCACAGATTAGTAACTACACAGATTGCAGTCAGTCAATACACCAATCAACCAATCAATCAATCAATCAATCAATCAATCAATCAATCAATCAACCAACCAATCAATCAATCAATCATCAATCAATCAATCAATCAATCAATCAATCAATCAATCAATCAATCAATCAATCAATCAACCAATCAATCATCAATCAATCAATCAACCAATCAGTCAACCGATTAGTCAGTCTATCAAACTATTATTTGTCAACCAATCACAGTCTGTCAGGTAGCAAGCTAACCAACCATTCAATCAAGCACGTTGATTGATTAGTTATCTGACTAACTGATTATTCATCAAACAACAAACCAATCAAACTGTCGATTAATCAGTCTGTATCAACCAACCAATCTTCCCATCAATAGATCAATGGATCATCTGACCAATAGATCAACTAATTAATTAATCAACTATATATATATATATATATATACACACACACACACACACACACACACACACACACACACACACACATATATATATATATGTAGTGAAATAGAGTGATGTAACGATCTAGAGTTGTATTTTAATATACTGTAAGTAGATCTAGTTATAATCAGAAGAATAGGTTGTTTTTATCATCAGGGAGTTCATTTAACACTCTGTATTGACCTTGAGACAAGAAAAGAGAGAGTTGGGATTGTTTAAGAATTTTATTATAAATTCTACAATCTATCAGGACTAACTCTGTGTTGGATGAAAATGGATTTGGATGTTGTGTTGGTGCGTGTGTGTGTGTGTGTTGTTCAGGATCTTTAGGCTGACGGAGCGTATCTGGTTGTTATGACTACGGACCACGAGGCTTCGGAAGCTGATGACATGAGCAGCTATTTTGCCGTGTACGTACCCTGTGGAGTCTCCCAGGTAGATCAGGAAATGCCAGGTCCTAGGACCTCGGATGTGTACTGGAGCTGGTTGAAGCAGCGGTCACAGCACGTCAAAGCCCGTCTGAAGGGTCGACCCCGGTACCATCGGCAGCATCAGCTAGTGGTGCTCTTATTTTGAAGGGACGTCGTCTTGTTGGTAAACAACGGAAATCTTCAGTAGCTTCACAGTTCTCAGTTAAAGAAGAAAGCACATCTGGCCAGGCTGTACTTCTCTTTTGATGACGATGGAACCCCGTAGGACTTCCAAATGAACAGAACTGAAGTCAAAATGGAACTGCCCATAAAATGGCGTTGCCTTGTTTTTATATCTCTGATTTGTTTTAAGTTTCAGTAAACGGGATTGGACACTTTAATTCAACAAGCCAGATTCTCTTACGGCAGCCGAAAGCTCTGATTGGTTGGAACAATGTGCCATGCGTTTCTATGGAGATGAGGGTCAGTCTGTCTGTGCAGTAGTCCTGTTTTCATTAAACACATAAATCATGACATCTTTATTCCACAGATCATTCACTTGATTATTATTGATCAACATCTGTTTCGACTAGCTTTAATCACAAATTAAGTACTTTGATTATTGAAAAGCGTTCTTCTTCTCCTTCTGGCTCTTCTCCTGGAATGTAAACAGTCTGAGGAACACCCGACCTTGGCGTTTTCTACACGGGTGTTACTGTGTACAGGGGCAGCTGCTAGGAGCTGAAAATTATGAACTTCATAACGTTACATATATATACACATATATGTATATGCATTCATTCATACATTCATACATGCATACATACATAAATTTACACATACACCAAACCATCCAAACTTTACTGATCAAATCATTGTTTGATGTCTTGATTGATTGTTTTTATGAAACAGTAAAATCTCAATATTTCCCATTATTATGGTTCTGATTGGGTTCTTGTTTCGAAACCAATGGTTGAGAAAAGCATGTATGATGAACGTGTGTGTGTGTGTGTGTGTGTGTGTGTGTGTGTGTGTGTGTGTGTGTGTGTGTGTGTGTGTGTGTGTGTGTGTGTGTGTGTGTGTGTGTGTGAACTCTTGTTTCAGGTGATCCACTGCAGCGGCTACCTGAAGATCCGTCACTACAGCCTGGATGTGTCTCTGTTTGACAGCTGCTATCAGAACGTGGGTCTTGTCGCTGTGGGCCACTCCTTACCGCCCAGCGCGGTCACGGAGATCAAACTGCACAGTAACATGTTCATGTTCAGAGCCAGCCTGGACATGAAGCTCATCTTCCTGGACTCGCGGTATGCTCCGTGTCTGTTCACACACTCTCATGTTTGAACACAGTGTCTGAGAAAGGTTAGTAGAATAGTTCACCGTGTGTGCGTGTGTGTGTGTGTGTGTGTGTGTGTGTGTGTGTGTGTGTGTGTGTGTGTGTGTGTGTGTGTGTGTGTGTGTGTGTGTGTGTGTGTGTGTGTGTGTGTGTGTGTGTGTGTGTGTTCAGGGTTGCAGAACTGACAGGTTATGAGCCTCAGGATCTGATAGAGAAGACTCTCTATCATCATGTCCACAGTTGTGACTCCTTCCATCTACGATGTGCGCATCATTTATGTAAGTTAGTTCAGATTTTTTTTTCAGTATTTTTTATCCATTTCCCACCGTCCTCTCCAACACAGCCTCCAGTCTTATTCGTGTTTTTATTGGATGTAAATTATTAGTTGTGGTCACAAACCTCCCAGAAAAGCCGTTATTTCTTTTTGTGTTCAAATTTGTGTCGTATTGTTCTAAAGGAGCAGGAAATGAATATTCCAGATATTTGCAGAGGTTGTTTTGTTAGAGCAGATTTTTACAGTTTACAAAGGTTTAAGTGGCTAGTTGTGAGTTATTCTTGGCATGCTTTTATTCTCGCATATCCCACTTTTCCTAAGTCATCTCCCACTTTTTAGATCAGTAATTATTGGATGAGTTTAATGATAATATTTGAATATATTTTTTACAGTTGAGAATAAAATAGTTGGTACTGATCTGATAAAAAAATCACATTAGTTACTGAAATAACCATAAACGAACTAAATCAATAATAAATATAATTTACCAGAACTTAAATAATGAAGTTGGACATTCTGGTTCAACAGAATAGTAATTTTACAGGATTAAAACCGTTCTAGACTAAAATGAAGGATCCACTAGAAAAGTAGTCACGGTGCTGTCTGGGTGAGTACCACACTGAACATGGACCACAGAAAGCTGAGGACACAGTTGTCTCAGAGGTTAAAACATTGCTCCAGACCACCATGGTGACAGGGAACGGCGAGAGGCTGTATCTTACTAGTAGCACAGGTTCATGGCCCGCTCAGGAAGTCATGTCCTTGGCCTCACCCTCCTTGCCTGCTGGTGGCGGTGTATGGCAGCCTCGCCTCTGTCAGTGTGTCCAAGAGTAGCTTTTCGACCAGGTTTAGGCCTGTGGAGTGCTGAGCAGCTTTTTGTTGCCACATTAATAACAAGGAACTTGTCTGATTGCCATGAGTTTATTGTCAGTATTTGAGATTGATTTCAGTGATCTCTGTGGGTTTTTCTGTCTTTACCTGTACCAGCTGTGAGCCTGTGGTCCCCTGTTTCAGGATGAAAGTGATTGTTTGCTGTTTGTTTTCTTTCCTCTCTCCTGTTCTTGTAGTGCTGGTGAAAGGTCAGGTCACCACTAAGTATTATCGCTTCTTGGTGAAGTGCGGCGGCTGGGTCTGGGTCCAAAGTTATGCAACCATCGTACACAACAGCCGCTCATCCCGACCTCACTGTATCGTCAGCGTCAACTACGTCCTCACGTGAGTTTCTCTGACCATCACAGTAACTAATGTCATACATACAGATTGAGATTATGTTACCGTTCTAACTTCACCAGAGTGGCTACAGATGCATTTTCCTCTTGATCACGGTAGTGTAAAGACCACGGGCCTCATTGTTAAAACTGCATAGAGTCCTTACTAAAACGCTACTTAAACTCAGCAAAAAAATAAAACGAATCCAAGTGGAATATTTATCTAACATATTTCATTTTACCTAAACTGCCTTCAGGCAGGAGATGTCTTGTTGTTCATGTGTGGAGTCGTTCCCTCTGGGACGGGCAGGCTGCAGGAAACTCGGAGGTGCAGGTGCAGCAGCTGGCTGCGGTTCGGTCTCTGCTGCTAATAAAAGACGACAGTTTGAGTTACAGCAGATGCACCAGGGCATGTGTCAGACAGTTAATGCACCAATAAGTCATTTGAAGACGTAGGTATGAAAAAAGTCTGATGTAACGCTACAAAAGAGCAGATTTTCATTCATATTCTCGTGTGTGTGTGTGTGGGGGGGGGGGTCTACAAGTCTGCAAATGTGTCTGAAATTCACCATCCCACTTTCCCCGTCTCTACGATGCACGTACACCTGGGTCAGAGTTTCCTGTCAACTTTTTCTTTATAAATTACAAATTTTGATCCTGCAACTGGGCCACATCGTGTTAGAAAACACACACTGTAATCTGAGTAATGGACGGTGTAAAGTCAGGAGCAGCTACCCTGATCAGAAAGGATTTCTTGTGCTGAGTGGTTGCAGGTAGATAACGGGACCCAGGAGGAGACTTTTAGGGTTTTTGGAGCTTATTTCAATCATTTGGAGCAGAAATGATCCGGTTACTGGAGCATAAATCACAACAGTTGTTGGAGATGTTGAGTGATGGTATGGAGTTTTGCTGATGATTGTTTTATGAGTGAACTGATACCAATGTTACATCCTGCAGGAATGGAGCGATTACCAGTTGACCAGTAAAGGTCCCAGTGATGGGTGTTTAACTGGGCACCAGTGACATCAAGGTTTTGGAGACGTTTTTTGGAGGCGGTCCTATAGATTATGTCACTGTCATTCAGAATGGTGTGATTGGGATTTTGATCTGAGCTTTTCAGAATGAGTAAACGATCTAATGCTGTTGGAGCTAATCCTTGATCTGACTTTTGTAATCAGTGTTTTAAATGGATGCGTTTAGCACTCCGTAGTGTTCGTTATGAATTTGCTGTGGTTTGACCAAAAACAAAACTTATCTCCTTGCTGTGAGGTTTTAACACATTTAACACATACAATAGCTGGAACGTCTCCTCAGCTTTCACCAGTTTCTAGAGGAGCGGTTCATCACAAATCAGCTGTGTTCACGATCTAAAACAGGCTGGAAGCAGACTCCAGCTCCACCATGTCAGCTCCCTCCACCAGCAGGGGCAGGGCCAGTCGGCTACAGGGGCCGGAGGGTGTCTAGGTGACCTTTCATTAACCCTGTAAGGGTCATTTTAGCACATACCGACTCAAGAACATGATGGAAAATATGGAAAAGTTGCTTAATATGGCTTTAATGTTCTGATCTAAGGAACCTTAGCTGTCAAGCCAGCAGAAACACAATATCTACTTTCCTGGTAATTAGTTACATTTAAAATATTGTAACTCGGTTACTTTCTGAAGAAGTAATCAGTAACTAAAAATGACTTTTTGGAAGTAACTTGCCCACTGGTGCAGAGGCGGCCCCAGGTTTGTGTATAGATGTATATATGGTGTGTTTCTATTGGTTGATGCTTTTAGTTTCTCTGTTTGTGGAGAACAAGAAGAGGACACTGGTGTGTCATGTTGTGCAGGTGCTTTTTGTTGAATATTTTTGTAGCAGTTGTTTTATTAGTATTTATATTATACCTGTTACCTGTGGAACCTCCCCCCACGAACGTTTGAACCAATGAGCATCCAGCTAAACTGTGACGGAGCCTAGAATGACTTCTTCTCTCATGTTTCTAATCCTGGGAGCCTGATGTCCACTTGTAATTCTGAAGAAGAAGCTCAGTGTTCTCCAGCTTCTACTGTTTGATGAGTAAAAATAGTTCTTTAAAAAAATGTAGGGTGTGAAACTAAACACCCATAGATGCAACTCAACATGTAGAGCAGGGATGGGGAATCCTGGTCCCCGAGGGCTGATATTTGGCATGTTTTAGTTGTTTCCCTGTTCCAGCACACCTGGTTTTAATCAGTAGGTAATTAACAATCTTCTACAGAGCTTGATGAGCTGTTGAACAGATGATTCAGTCATTGAATCAAATGATAAATGACCCGCACTTGTATAGCGCCTCTCAGAGTAAGGACTCCAAAGCGCTTTACACCACAGTGTATCATTCATCCATTCACACACATTCACAATCAAGTGTGCTGGAGCAGGGAAACAACTAAAACATGATGGATAGTGACCCTCGAGGGCCAGCGTTCTCCACCTCTGGTGCAGAGCAATCAGCAACCAGTCTGAAGCTCACTCCCTCCAAACATGAGATTAAGGGGTAGAATGTGTGTGAGCAGGTTGGTCCCCCCCCCCCCCACCACCACCACCACCACCACCCCCACCCCCCCACACCCTTTCACCTGCCCATGAACTCATTGTGTATCCTGCTCTGATAACCTCTGACCTTGGTGCTCCTGCTCTGTGGACCTCCTTCAGCTGACTCCACCAGACGTCTAAAACTCTTTATTCATGCTGCTTCATGTTCAGGTTTAGCCCAGACTCTTTACGCACTCAGATCCAGTGTTCAGGTCCTAAAACCAGATGACCTATAAACCTTCTGAGAGCTGTCTGGTCACACAATAAATGTAATAAATGGTAAAAAACTTCAGGCCATTCATATTCTGATTCATTCAAATATGAAAGCCATTGTCAGACTGCCAAAAAACAACAACAAAAGCTTCATTAAGACCAAATATTTGTGGGCTTTCAGCATCACAGCTGGAGCAGCAGCACTACAACATCTCAGAGTCTCTAATCCCATGACTAATATCTGCTTGTACATGAATTAGTTTGTGTGGCGGGAGATGGAGACTAAGAGACGATGCACATGGAGGATGGATCACTATTTGTCTCAAGTAAACTGTCAACATTCTCTGTTGCCTCAAATGGGATTCATCTTCCACAGTGAGAACACTTAAGTGAGAAATCAATTCCCATTTCCCCGTAGTGAGCCGCTCAACCTCCTACTGCCTTATTTAGACAGAAACAGCCTTTAATCTTCCAGCTCTTCTCTGGATGAGTGTAAGAGGTTCACTGAGAAACCGTGTAAAACCTATTTTTGAAAAATGAGCTTCACGTGCATGCTGGCCACGAAAATAGTCTTCTACCCCTATTTCCTGCTTTAGCTGCAAAACAAACATAAACGGGGAAATGGTCAGGGTAGGAAAACCCACACAGATCTGAGTCACACCCACTTTACTGTTGATTTGGGAGTGTGTCTCGACCAGCGACATATATACTGGACAATTTGTTTCCAATTATAAGTTTTTGTGCCAAAATGGGAGGTGGCCACCACCGCCATTTTGACCGTGTCACAGGTTCCGTCAAACCCAGACAATTCCAAAAAAGAGAAGAGAGGTGGAGCTGAGGGTGGAGCTACAAGCTAACCCAAAGCTAACGCGGAGGTGGGAGCAAAGCTAACGGAGGTAGCTACCTAGCTACAACCGGAGTTAACTGTGCACAACACCGGAGCGTCTGAGTCAGAGATACGCCGGGCTGACCGCTGGAGAGAACCGAGTGGAACACAGAGGTCTCCTGAGAGCTCCACAAGCCGGCAGCCGCGAAGCAGACAGGCGCCGCTGCGATCAGAGATGCGCCAAACTGCCGCTGAGGGGAGGGGATCATACCAGTAGTCAGAACCCAGCTCCACCAACATGTTATATTTCAACCCATTTTCAAAATGCAGCGTTATGTTAAATGCACTGGGTTTTACCCTATTACGTTTAAATTTCATGGTTAAACAGTACATGTTAAAATCTATGCTCATCTAGTGCAAGAACGGCAGTGACCTAAAATACATTAATATAATTTTACTTACAGAAAAAAATGAAGTGGAGACTCCTTGGACGCTCTATTAGTGCAATTAATGCCACAGCAAGACATTTTGTCCAACAATTGCACAAATAATATCCAAAAACGAACGCACAAACGCTACAACTAATAGTCTAAGTTGAGAGACTAAAAATAGCGGAACAGTTTTAAGGCGAGGCCGAGGCTCAGGCTGAGGCCTTTCCCCCGAGCCAGCTCTGTGGTCACTTGGGTCTGATGCTCATTCGTTATTCAGAATTTTAGGCTTTTAATACACTTAAACAGAAGAGTGAGAGAAAAAAATTCACCCTCCTCAGAGTTGTCATGAGTGTAAACTAGATAATTTAAACTAAAAACATGTTTTGGCACCAGGCTGTAAACATGTTTATTTCTGCTGTGAAATTGGTATTTTTAACATGGGAGTCAATGAGGATTTGCTCGCTTCTGACACCAGCCCCCAGCGGATGAGGATGAAACTGCAATCTCTGTCACTTATTTTTTGGCTTCATTTTTTTACCAGTATTATGGGGGCTTGGTCTCGACTAGTAGAAGCTAACCATTAGCAATAGCATCTCCACAACATGGTGGAAGATGATAAAACATAAATATTTTATTTTTCTATCAAGAAAAGATGGCGAATGGAAGCAGCGGAAGAGTTGTGTTGCTGTCAGCCAATCAGAGGCCTAATGTTGGTCTCAGTGCACAACCTGCTTCACCCAGCACTACACCAGACAAGTAATTAACAAACGGGTTATTGGACCCAACAGGCTCCCAGTAACTATCACTAGATGTTTGTGTTCTTTAATGACTAGCACTGAAATCAAATGGAATCACAAACTAAAATATGTTTTTGTGCTTCTTCAGGGAAACTGAATACAAAGGCTTGCAGCTTTCTCTGGACCAGACTAAATCTAAGGCCTTGTTCTCCAGCAGCAGCACCACCAGCCTCCCAGAGACCTCCAAAACCCTCAAAAGCAGAACGTCATGGCCAAAGGCCAAAACCAGACCCTCACCGTACACACATGTAAGGATTCACTCTCCTCCAGCGGTCGAGCTGCAGTGGCTTTGTTACATGTCCTAATGTGTTCCCACATTCCCTTCTCTTGCTGCAGTATTCTAGTTTCCACACGGACCGTTCAGAGTCGGATCAGGACAGCCCGTGGGGCAGCAGCCCCCTCACAGACTCCTCTTCCCCTCAGCCGGAGCACGCTGAAGCTCTGGACGCCTCCTCCAGCTGCAGGCAGGTCTCCTACCCTCACAGTCTTTGCTACAGCTCGTCTGAAGAGCTGCATCGCTCCACTAGTGATGTCCTCACACACGGTCAGAGTTGTGAGAGGGGTCGATGTGATGCAGGGAGATATTTCCTCGGAGCTCCTCTGTCCAGCAGAGGTACCTGGTGGGGCGCGGCACGGACCATCCTACCACTGACCAAGAGCTGCTCAGAGAGGAGTGAAGGGTACGATGGCAACACGACCCACATTGCAGCCATCCACAGTTACCATGGTGAGACCTGAAACCACATCACTTTACCTGTACCAAGACCTATTCTCATACTATTTGAGTGTGTTGTATCACTTACACAGTAGCATCAGCTCCACTCCGCTACGCCCTCCCCACCCTGGCCACGTTCGTTCCACATGGCCTTGGGAATGCGGACGTGATTGAGCATATGAGCGGTCTTCAAAATTGGCGCGAAAAATAGATATAAGTGATGTCATGAGCGCATCTCAGAGCACGTGGGCGGGGCAAAAGAGTGCGGAGAAGTCCGCGGTGTCTCCATTATTAAACAAAAGCGGCCTGAGCACGCTTGCCTTTGGAGGCTCACTGACTCTGATGTTGCATTCTGCTGTGTTGTGTCTGGCAGCACTGTGTGTGTGTGTGTGTGTGTGTGTGTGTGTGTGTGTGTGTGTGTGTGTGTGTGTGTGTGTGTGTGTGTGTGTGTGTGTGTGTGTGTGTGTGTGTGTGTGTGTGTGTGTGTGTGTGTGTGTGTGTGTGCGCCCCTCCTAACAGCAGTGAGGGACAGCAAGAGGGCTGAAAAGATGTCCAGTTGCGCGCGGGAAAATCCAAGGCTATCCAAATGAGAACACCCCAAACCCGGTCCAGGCAGAGTAGAGCTGATGCTAGTGTGTAAGTGGCATTAGACTAAGACCAGGAGTGGAGCTGGACCCTGGGTGGTACTTGACACAGGACTGGGACTCTGGAGATGTCAATTCTATTACTGTGAGTATTTCTAAGGGTTTTCATTGTTTCACCTCCTGCAGGTCATGGTCACTGGGATGAGGACAGCGTGGTCAGCTCCCCAGAGGGAGGGTCAGCAAGTGATTCAGGGGACCACTACCAAGCTGACCTCTACCCCTACAGCCCAGAGGAGCCCAGTAAAATGGAGACGCTGATTCGAGCCACACAGCAGATGATCAAAGATGAGGAGAGTCGACTTCACATGCGCAAGGGCCCTGAGAATGCCCCCCTAAGCCTGGCCAATGGACTTACCAAAGGCCCTAATCCATGCTTCACCCCAGAGTGTACACAAGGACTCCCGCCCTTACAGACTGTGGTTTGTCGAGGTATAGGTCAGGTGATCAGCCCAGCACCTAGCCCTGCATCCGTATCTAGGCTTACCAGCCCTGGCTCTGAGCATCCCCACAAGCCCAAAGACTACCTCCAGACTGACCTGACCCCACTTTCTTTGCAGTTTCACCACCCATTTAGTCGGCCTATGGCATACTCAGCTTCCCCTACGGCGGCCCCTGCCTGCTGCCCCCCACACAGCCGCCCGCAGCCCTACATGGACAAACACCCAGCGTACTCACTGACAGGCTACACCCTGGAGCACCTCTATGACCCAGAGAGCTTCCGAGGCTCTGGCTCCACTCACTACAATCACTTTCGTCTTCAATCAGAGCAAAGCAGTGAACACAAAAACCCCTCAGTGATTATCACCAACACTAGCTAACACTCATCTGATTTCCTAAGTAAAGAAGCTGAGGGTCGATGGTGCCCCATTACCAGAGTTGCAGGTTCACATCCCACTAAGTCTGTTGCAATCGTGTCCTTGGACAAGTCACTTCACCCTTATTGCTTGTTGGTGGTGGTTGGACAGATCAGTAGTGTCTGTGTACTGCAGCCTCACCTCTGTCAGTGTGCCCCAGGACTGCTGTGGCTATAATCACCACCGCTGTGCAAATGGATGAATGACTGTGGTGTCATAAAGCACCTTGGGGGGTGGTAGAACTCTAGAAGGCAGTATATAAATACAGGCCATTTACCAAAAAAATGTCTGTTTCAAATGTATTTTGTTGCCTTATGGAGACAAAACTGTTCAACCTGATTAATGCTGATTGGATGTTAAATAAAGGTTTGGGTGGATAAACGGGTTCTCTTTAGATAAAACCACTGAGTATGATGGAAAACCAGAAGAGAAGCTAGTTTTACTACTGGGTCTCCTCTGATGCTCTCTAGTCCACCTGTCGGACACACTCCTGACTCTCCAAACCATTCACCCAAAACAAATGTAATGGGTTTAAATGAGTTTATGGTCTAATCCAAGACTAAGTTTCAACGTCATGCAACCAGAATGGCAATAGAGAGGCTGAGCCTGGTGATGTTATGCAAAGTGTTGAAATGCTGGACCAGCTAAATCATCACATCATAGGTCCATCAAGCAGCTGCTAAATGTTGTGTTTGTTCAACAGAATTCAAGGTTGGTCTTTTAGGATTTGCCTATGATGTCACGTTCTGATCTTAAATGAACTTATATTTCTACAAGTTTTTTTTTTTTTGTTTGTTTGTTTGTTTTGGGGGAGGGTGTGTGCCAAAGCCTGGAATGTGCTTAGTTTCTTAAAGATATTTATGGTGTACTGTAAATATGCTCAGAAAAGTCACTTTTTATTTGTAAGCACATGGAAAATATGGTATTTATAGAGTAAATGTTTCTGTATGCATTTTAAATGAGTTTGGAATAGCTGCATTTCAGTCTGCCTGTTTTAATCAGTGTTTCTGACAAAAAGACAAAATAAAATCTTTTTACAGGGATGTCTTTTGTTTCTGGTTCCATCCTTTCCTCAGGTGATGACATTTTCTGAAAACATCCCACACTGTTTGGGCAACTGAAATCACTAAGCTTTTGAATCTTAGTCAATTTTGGCTTGCTTTTGGCACCCCCTAGTGTCTGATTAGTAGAACCAAAAGCAAAACTTATCTTCTCGCTGTGCTTTTTTCTTTTTAACAGCTGAAATGTCTCCCCAGCCTTCATTAGTGTCTACAGGAGTGGTTCTTCACTAGATTAAACAAATCAGCTGTGTTCATGATCTAAAACATGCTGGAAGCAGACTGCAGCTCCAAGCATGTCAGCTCAATTCTTTCTAAATCCATTAGGCGGCAGACCGCCACTCTAAAGTTGCAAGTGCAACATTCTAGTCACAGAGGGCAGTTTGGGTCTGAGAGAGTTTTCATTAACCCTGTAAAGGGTCATTTTTAGCTCAAGAAAATGATTTAAAATATAAAAAAGTTACAATGTATGACTTTAAATATTATGCTTCTATAGTCACTCATTTGATTATCGTGAACAAACAACTGAAATATGTGGTGATCATCAGAAACATCAAAAACCTTCTTAGAACTTACACAATATTTAACACAAAACTATAGTATCAATACACAAGACATCTCAAAGCACTGCACTAAAGCAACAAGTCCGGTTCACACCAGAACATATCCTGAATCATAGCTTTATGTAAACAGTCCATTCAGAGACTGAAGGTCACTTTTCAGACATCTGATATGGATATGGCTGGATTGAGACACATCGATGTTCACAGGACGGTTTTCAGATGTTTATCCCCTTTTCCAACAACAACTTTCTCAGCGTGATCCAACTTTTCAGTCCCTGCTTTGATGTGGTTCCGAGCATGCCGCGTTGTGAATGACTGATAGTGTTGTAAAGCACCTTGGGGGTTTCTAGGACTTTATCAAACCACAGGTCGTTGCCATCTGTCAGGTTCGGATTCCCTAACCTGGTCTGCCAGACTCCTCCTCTTTTAAATTCTGAACAGAGAAAGGGTCTGGGAACTCTCCTATTCAAATAACACCACCCCGTGAGAATTCTAACCGAGCCAATCAGTGCTGAGCATCGTACATCACACACCATAACGCTGAGTTTGTCATAAACATGGTGATTGAAGTGGAGTTCGCTGTGGCTCTTTCCTTTGTTCCAGATGATTTGAACATGTCTTCAAAGCCACAACAAGTAGAAGCGCTAAAAGCCTTTCTTCTAAACAAAGATTGTTGCACTGTCGTCAGACTCCATTTTTACTACAGCTAAAAAACTACAGCGTCGCGGATGTCACACACAGCGACGCTCAGTTTCTCACAAACAACGAAGACAGTGGCGGAGTTCCCTGCGACTCTTTCCTCCGTTCTAAATGACTCAAATGTCTTTAAAACCACAAGTAGAAGCGCTAAAAGCCTTTCTTCTAAAAAAAATAAAAGATGTTTGCGCCGTTGCCAGATGCCTTCTTTTTTTTTTTTTACTACAACTAGAAAACTACAGCGTCATGCAGTGCAGTCGGGATTTCCGTCTTTTTTTCTGATTGGTCATTTTTGAGCTGCCTAGTCCCGCCCCTCAAGTGCCTCTCTACCTGTGAGTTACCAGACTCATTCTCTGTGCAGAATTAATACAATTGTGACGATAATGGCTTACAGATTATGAAAACAGGAAATTCAAAATCTCAGAAAAGATTCAATATTCTAGACTCAAAGTGTCACGCTCTAATCGGCTAATTAATCCAAAACACCTGCAAACGGTTCCCCGGCCTCTAGATGGTTTCTCAGTCTAAGATGAATTTCTGAAATTAATTAACTTTTGCAGCGTATTAAGTTTTTTGTTTCACCTGTAATTCATGATTTATTTTGTGCCGACCACAGCCTAAGTTAATTTGTTTGAGAACACCTGAGTCCTTACTCACCAGCACCTTGTGAACTTCTCCATGAAGCACAGAGGATCACTCTGGGGGACTAATCAGCAGCCACCATGCCAGAGCCCCAGGAGGTCATATTGTGAACAGTTATTTTTCTGGGCCCTGCCCATCACCATTCATGCCAGGGCAGATCCAGCACAGACCTCAGCACCCCCAGAACTTGGCAGAGGCCTGACAGAGGCCTGACAGAGGCCAAGGGCCCAGACCCCAGTGGGCAGCCACAGGAAGTCAGCTTGGAGATGCCCTGATACCTGACCGCAGACACAGAAAACCATGGTGGACGAAGGAACCACTCACCAGAAGGAGGTGTGGCAGTCTTAAAATATCTCAGGAGAGGGGGAATCCCTAGCCTGGCCTGCCAGACTCATCCTCTGTTTAACCCTTTGATGCATAATGGTCACTACAGTGGACAGGTACTCAAAATTGTTATTTATTTGTTTTTGCTATTAAGCACAGCTGTTGAAGACTTTATTGCAATTGAGCCCCTCCATTTGGACTTCAGTAAGCCAAGCCAACATATTTCATGTTCTGAATGCACGCTGTCCACTGAGGTGGACATGTAATAAACTATTTGTAAATTATAAAATTTTACAAAAAATATTTGTTGAAATTTGTTTCATCCACACAAAAAGATGAATGAAAAAAATTGTTAAAAAATCTTGGTTGAAGATTTCATAATTCATGCATCAAAGGGATAAATAAAGGCCTGAAATTTCTGGCTTTGCATGTAATGAGTCTATCTCATATTTTAGTTTCACCTTTCAAGTAGAATTACTGACATGAATGAACTTTTGAACTGTATTCTAATTTTTTGAGTTTCACCTGTAATTTTTACAGTGTGCTTTTTAGGAAATGTGTTACTGTTCTGTATTTTAATTTTGTTTATCTCTGTAGTTAATCAGTTGTGTTATTTTCTCAGTTTTTTTGAAGGTCTAACTGATTCCTTGTACCTGTTGTGTTCTTTCTTTATGTTAACTTTCTCTCCCACCTCCCCTCTTTTCTTCTTCCTCCTTTCATTTTTAATTCTTTGTCCTTTGGGATTAAAATGAAACCAAAAAGCAATTCTAATGAAGATTTTTCTAAAAAAATTTAAAAGCAAAGGTTATTAAACTACCTGTGAGAGTAAATCTGTAAGACTTGTTTTTGGCACTCAGACAGCAATTCTGATTGCTTTACTGCTGGATAAGACATGGAGGGGGAAAAATAATAACATCTGCTCCATTTTGCAGAAAGGGGGCAGGGAAATTGTCAAAGTGACAGTGTGTATTTTTCCTGGCGATAGGCGATAGGGGCAGTAGATACCTAAATTGCTGCAAGCAAGCAGTATTTTTGTGTTGGAGTAAGATTTTGCAACGGATGCCCATTAGTGTCAAAAAGCCCTGAAGTGCAAACTTCAGAAAATTTAATAAGCACATCAGACTCCCTTTCATCACCGGCTGTCATGTTCTGGGTAAGTCTCCTGACCCAGGAGATACAGAATCAATCACAGGAGGGATGAAAAATGAGAAACAATATTTATTCTTGTAAAGGAGAACTAAGGGAGCGCCGTCGAAGTGAGGCAAGGGTCCGTACAGGCTTGTGACGTGGTGGTTGATTTAGAAGAGGGACAACTGGAGCTGGAGAGGGAGGTAGTCTGGTCTGAGGAGAGTTCGGGCTCGAGAGAGGTTCTCCAGAGTGCAGGTGAGTGCAGGGTGAGTGGTGGAGAGCGGGTCGGTCTGGCTGGGCAGGGAGGACGCGGTCCAGAGATGAGGTCCGTCTGGTTATGGCTGGAGAGCTGTGTGGAAAGGATATCTGGAGACAGGAAGAGGGGTTAGGAACTCCAGAGGCTAGAGTGGAGCACAAAAAGGTTTTAGGTTGAGTTGGCACACGATCTCAGGTTGTGCAATACCCAAAGTGAGTAATCATCCGGCAAGGTGGGGTTGTCTCCCTGCTCCTTTTAAGCACAGACCGGTGATGGAGAACCTGCTGCAGCTGCCCACTCCTCGGCTCCACCCACCTGCTATTGAGCACTCACACAGGTTATGGTGGAACCACTCACCTCAGATCCTGACACTGGCAACTAGTGAAGAGGTGAATGTATAAAACAACAACGTTTATGAATGGTGAAAGTTTTGTAATCATTTGTTACAAATCAGTAAACGCATTTTGTCCTCAAAGGCTCCCGTCGAAGGAAACATGGCATCTAATATGGCGTCGCCCAGAGACACACCCACTCCCATGGATTTTAGACCAGATTTTTCATGGTTATATGTTAAGAATATTTTTCAACAACTGAGCATCATTTTAATTCATTTTAAACAATATTTGATGGATATTTCCAGAGATTAATAATTAAATACTACACATTGTCCCTTTAAGTAATGGAGTTGTTGTCTGTGAACCCAGCTTGTCCTTTTGTCGGCTGGCAGAGCTGTGTGTCTAACAGGTGTGTGTGTAAAGGCAAGCTCATTGCGTCTGAATGAGTGAACTGAGCAATTGTTTGTGAACGTGAACTGATCTCGCACTATTTTGCCTGATGAACGTTAAAGTGAGCATGTTTATTCTGGCGTTAGTGAACGGGTTTATGAACGGCCTCTCACAGTTCAAGAGCTCCAGATCAGGCAGCCTTGGTCATTTAACTTCTGAATATTCTTTCATGTATCATCTCACTCATATTTTATTCAAAGTAAATGTTTTTTAATTACTTGTAAAAAAAAAAAAAGTTCCAAAAGGGATACTTCAGATAGATTAATAAAGCTTTAGGTTTGATATCTGAACTTTATCCTGTGAACAGGTAAACAGTCTTTGAAGGTCTGTTTAAATTGTACTTACACACACACACACACACACACACACACACACACACACACACACACACACACACACACACACACACACAAACCTGATATATGAAAGGACCCTGAGACTTAGCATCCAGATGATTGGTTGGATTCTCGCCCACTCCTGCTCCTGAGTTTGAGCCGCTGTTGCGTCTGCTCCTACCCGGAGCTCCGCTTTAGGAAGAGCAGTGTGTCGCTCTTATTGATCTCCAAAACGTAAACAACAAACTTCACTGTT